CCCTTCATCCCTCTGTCACGAGGCGAGTCCTGGTTCTACCTTTTTGATTTTTGTCTAGGTGCAGTGAAGCTGTTGGTTGAGGGTTGGATGATTAGAGCATCTCTGGAGGAGGATGCTTGATTTGGACCAATAACCTAAAAATGCAGTATTGGCTCTGGCATCACACTGAGAGCTGGCATCGCTCTCACCCCAGCACTAAGTGAGGATCGCTTTGTAAAGCTAAAGGAGAAAAAAGGCATGTGCTGCTCTTACTGCTGGAAGGTTCTGCTCAAATCTGCCTTTTTAAGGGGAGGCAACCCTTCTGGTCCCCTGCCCAGGTGTTATAGCACAGTCATCTTGAGAGTCTTCAAGTGCAAAATTGTCTCCTTTTCTCTAAAACAAAGACCTACACAAAGCCAAGAGCCACTGTGCTTACAGTAGTAAATATTTATAGAGCCTTGTTCACTGGAGCTATTTAAAGCAATTTTCCCGAGATACTGATCTGTTTAAAGGGAGAGCCTAAGAGTAGCATGAAATACTTACCTCCCTTGTCTTTCTACCTTTTCCAGTGTGACTTCCAGTTCCACATATCTGCTCGCCTGCCAGCTCCTCTGTTGTGTTTTCGGTGTGCTGCCGCTTGTGCAGATACAGTTCAGGGGCTTGGCAGAGTGGGGGGATGCCTTTCTCCAGCCATAAATTCCCAAGAGCAAGGGGGACTGACAGCCTGATATAAAGTAGGATCAAGAGCTGGAAGAAAATTGTTATTTCTCTTGGAGGGGTTCTACTTTTCCTGTTCACATCAGGTGTAATCTTTTGGGTGAAAGTTTTAACTAAGCTGAGGTTGGGTGTGGGGTTTTTCAGGTCGTACTGATGCAAAGTGTGCTGTGTTCTGCATGAGTAATTTGGAAGAGGTCAAAGTTTCCTATAACACATCCTGTGTATTCCCATGGGAAAATGGCTTGCTTTCTTAAGTTTTCCTTATACCAATTGGCAAAAGAAATAAAGGTTTGGAATTCTCTGGAGTCTTGCCCGGGAGTGTGAAACCCAGCTCTGTGGAGGGGAATTGGGTGTCTGACATCAGGCATGGTGACAGCAGATCGCTTTGCAGAGCACTCTGTGCCAGGTCAGCTCGCTGCTTGAGAAGTGGGCTTGAGATGGCGTCAGCGTAAGTAGGAGTCTAAAGCAGGACTGGAAAAATAGCAGAGGAGTCGGCCTGAATGCTAAATTAGAGAGAGCAGCCCAGACTTGTTTTCCAAGCCTCATTCATTTTGTTGCATCATGCTAGATATTGGTCAAGAAAGAGATCGGTTGATATAAAATAAGCTTTAAATAAGACTGTTTTCTTTTCCCCCAGTGCTGTGCGCCCCGAGGGCCGGGCAGGGTTGTGGAGGCAGCTGCTGGTCGTCTGGTTTGCTGGCGCTGCGTGTGCGACAGGAGTAGCGCGTAGGGTTTGTAGCAACGCATCCCTTCCGGGGCATCAAAGCACGTTCTGGCAGAGAATAAATGTCAGTCTCGAAATGAGCTGTGCTTAGCTGCGAGCAGAGATGATGCTCAGGTGGGGGAAACCCTGTCAACTACAGAAATCAAATTTTCAAAACTTCCCTTAACTTACTGGCATCTGAGCCGCCTGAAACGCCGGGGCGGATGAGCAGCCGTGGTGCGGCGGGGTGACGCTGCCAGCAGCCTCTGTGCAGTGGTGGCATCTAGTGGCTGCTGGGGCTGTGGACCTCTGTCCCCACGTCCCTGGGGCAAGGGGGAAGCCAAGGCTGAGCTTGAGCTGTAGGTTGGGCCTAGGAAAGCGAGCTGGGCTGCTCCACTTCCTTGTCAGCTGTAAATGGGGGGAGTGTGTATTGGGCGACGTCATGGGAAACTGCTGTGTGTTACTGGGGCTAAAATAGTAAGGTACCAGCTGTGAGGTGGCCAGTGATGGTCCTGTGATTTTAAGGGCATCTGACTGCAAGTTTTCATCTCTATGGGAGTGCAGTGCTTGTAAGCTGTGTCCTGCTCAGAGTGCTAACCAGCTAAAAAAAAAAAGATTAAAAAAAAAAAAAATGTTGCATGCAAGCTTTAAAGGGAGTCCCTTTGAGCTTTCCTGATCCACTGAATTACGCAAGAGGGAAGCTGAAATTTTCTCCAAAATGTTGCAGTTGCACAGTGTTCTTACCAGTGAGCTTGTAGGTAGAGTTTGTTCAAAAAGCTTTTGTAAGTTTAGTCCCTCGTCCTGGTTTGGGTGTAGGCAGGTTAAAAAGTGTATCACTGTTCTTCAACCTGCATTACCAGGTACTGCTTAAGTGCTGACTGTAGCCTAGAATAAAACATCAAAACGGCTTTGCTTTTAACTCGAGTGTATGTGAATTCCTCAGGCCAGTTTTGTGGCAGTACCTCAAGGGTGTAATCCTCAGAAAGGCTTTTACCCTTCACCTCCAGCACTCTGCCAAGGAGAGAAGTTGTGCACGGAGACACAGACTGCCCTGAGGCCAGTCAGCAAAACCAGTTGACTGGCAGCTGCCTAGAAACGTGAAGAGATAGGTTTGGTACTTTCCTTTCTCTGTGCTTCTGCATTCAGCATCTGACATCATGTGTGGTGGACAGCAGGTGCCTGGAGAGTCTGCCAGGACCGTTCCATCATGGTGAGCTCTATTGATTTTCCCACACAAGCAACGGGCTGCCATCCCTGCCTGTCCCCCGGGAAGGGATATCTGCAGGGGCAGGTACAGCCATGCACCTCGTGCTTCTTCCCTCCATCTCTCATACCTTCTCTTCTGAGCACAGACATCACTATGAAGGACTTCTGCTTTGCCTGTTTGTTTTCCCTGAGCATCTTTGGAGCAAGGAGAAGTTGCAGCAGAAGCTCAGGATGTTTTCCAGTGCTGTTTTCTGCTGGTTGCCTGCTTTGGTCATGGCCATGTTGTTCTGCCCAAGGACCAGCATTGCTCTGGTTTAAAGTATGTGGTGTAGTTTCAGATGGGCATGGAAGCAATCGGTATTTAAAACATTGCTTTGGTAACTGAGTCATGTATATTTGCAACAGGGAACCCATGTTCCCCACATTGGGGGTGTTGTCTGGGCAGTCTGTGAGCATGGACCCCTAACAAAGACATTTCTGGGTTTGTGTGGTTGGTGTTTCCATTAACGAGTTTTCTTCTCTTTCCAATCAAGCTGAACTTCTCTCACTTTTAAAAGCTGATAGTCAAGCGATTCATTTCACCACAGTGGTGGTGTTTTTGGAAGCACATGGCCTGTGTGCTCTGCTTCCAAAACTGTCTCTCTTTTCCCCTCCTTGATGCTTTCATGCAACTGCTCCACTCATGTGCCTGGGCTGCTGGCACGGAGGATGCTGAGGATTATCTGCTTGCAGGAGGCTCTTGTGCCTTATGAGAAATGGGGCAGTTCTGTGTGGAGCAGAGTCTCTGGGCATTTTGCATCAGAAACAGGGCAGTGGGCTTAATTAGCCTCATCCCTAACGGCCCACCAGCCTGTGCCAGGGGACGATCCTGGTTCAGGAACTGGCCGAGGAAGGGAGGGAGATGTGTGGATGCTCCCTCCTGGTTTCAGAGCAGACTTACTCCTGCTACTTACTGCTCACCATCCCTGGGGACAAGACAGATTTATATCTGCCTGAGAATAAATACAGATCATTCACTTGTCTCCGCAGGAAGATAAAATGTAAACTGTCTATTTTCTTTGATAAAGCACTGGAAATAGTTGGAATTTAAGATAATTATCGCTTTTTATAGCACCCTGTGAAGGCTGAAATCTAATTTATTTTTCACTAACGGGGAGCTCCTGCTGATGACACAGAAAATCCATTTACTTTATTGACAAACTTGTCTGTTTGGTTATTGGGGCAGTGTTCTCCTTGCAGGAGAAGGAAAATACAGGTTGTAACACAATGGTGGGTTTTTAATATAGATCCAAAGTTTGATATCTGTTGGTAAGAGGAAAAAAATAAAGTTGATCTAATCGGAGTGAAGTGACTCTGCTTTATTAAAGACAATTGTAAATCAGTTTATGCTTTAGTGGGTGTGCAGTAATGGTGCCTGGTGCTTTGTTTAAGCAACTTCAAGACACTTAAAGCTTATTAACTGGAGCTTGCAGAGAAACTGCTTTTCCTGGACACCTGGTGCCCCTTGGCTGTTCCCAAGCCCAGGCTTTGGGGAAGGAGATGGGAGGTGCTCTCCTGCCTCTTCCCTCCTGTGCCTGGGGCCGTGGTGTGTTTGGCTCAGTTTGGACGTGTTGCTTTCAAGTGGAGTTGCCCCCTTTTTTTAAAACTTTTTCTCTGTCTGAATGTGAGACAGGCTCCCAGTTTTTAATAAACTCATTGTGTATCTGAAGATATTGGGGACTCCTTGTGCGAACGAGTCGCTTCTCAGCACAGCCTGGTGGTGTGGTTTGGAGGGTCTGCTGCTGCTCTGGTCCTGTGGCTCTAAGAGAAGCGGCTCCTTGATAAAGGGGGAGTGCTTTCTGCTTTATCTGACCCTGTGTGATACACCCCCGAGAGCTGCTCAGAGGAGGAAACAGCATTCTCTGGGCAGGCTTTCAGTATCACCCACTTCCTAAAATGTCCTTTGACTGTTTCAGGCAGTGATGTTTGTTCAGAGATGGTAGGTCTGCGGGCTGACTTAGCAGAGATGCTTCTATATTGTTCATCTCTGGCTTGACCCCCAAAAGTCTGTAGTGTAACACTGTCACTTGGGATAACACTACAGACCGCTGAGTGTCCTACAGCTTGGGTCCTAACAGATTTCATCCAACGATGGAGAAGTAAGAAGCAATCTAGGGATTAACTGTATTTTTAGGGAGGATGGATAGAGCTCCACAAGAGTAGTCTTTGCCTTGAAGCAGAGGTCTATTTCTATGAAGTATCTGTAGCCCTCTGCAAACACACAATAGAGCAAGGGGAAGAAAACATCACTTTCTGTAAACATGAAATGATAGATTTGGGTGGGCAGAGCAGATTTCTTGTCCGTCTCTGAAGACCTACTTAGTGTTTGCTCAGCTTTTTATTGGTTTCCTTTCAGGAATTGACTACAAGACCACTACTATCTTGTTGGATGGCAGAAGGGTCAAGCTGGAACTCTGGTGAGTGTTTCTGAGCTGCTTTACTGGTGAGCAGGGGCTGTGGTGCTGCTAGTGGAGCGCTGTGCCAAGCTCCGGAGAGCACAGAGCATCCCCAGGCATGTGGTGAGGCTTGCTAGCTGTTCTTACTAGCGAGTTACTCTAGCAAACCAGACAGCTTTCCATTGATTAAGTAGTGCAAACAGCATGCTGTTCTTTGCTGGAATAGCCCAATTTCAGTCTCTCTGTCACACCTGACCATGTTCCCTTACAGTTCTCAATCACTGAGGCAACAGTATTATTTTGGAAGCAATACTGGATTTTCCTGAAATCCTAGGATGAGAAATACAGACAAGAGAATAGGAAAGGAGGAGGACAAAAATGGGTGAAGCCCTTAGTCCCTACAGAAGCTGGATACTTCTCGATAACTTGAGGAGAAAATTAAAGCAAGAGCAGTGAATAGACCTCACAGTTAGTGTCAGAGGATGGTAAACCCCTGGAGAGCAGGGCTTATTGGAGTGACCTGACACTGGGATGGCGATGAGAGGATGCTCCATGGGAGGGGTGACCCCTGCCTTATCTGTCAGCACTGCAGTGAGATCTGGAGTCCTTCTGGCTGAGCTTTGTCTGAGGTTTAACTTGCTGAGAAGCTGACACAGCAATCCTGTGGATGAAAGAGGAAGGATGGGTAGCCTGCCCCTATTCTGGGTTTCACCTGGATCTAGTAGGGAATGGCACAGGCCCTCAAACATGAAGCTAAATAGCCCCTTTACCAATGCTTGTGTCAAGCAACGGGAATATTAGGAATCTCTGTGAATTGTTAAATAGGAAGGAATGCCATGTTAGCCTCAGTGGCTGACTAGCAATGTATGGTTTCATGATTTAATTATACCCTTGCTCTCTGAAGTTGAATGTCCTCATTTTTCTTACAAAAGAACAGAAGAAGCTAATTTATCTCTTCTAGCTGGTATGCTTATATGTGCCACTTATATTCTTTTGTCTCTCTTGTAAGATGTCTATTTTAACATTTCAGCCCCAAGTGTGTAGTTACTTACTGCTTCCCTCTTGAAACCCTCTTCTTTTTATACTGTAATTCTTGAGCGGGAGAAGCAGCACAGGACCTGAAAAGCTGGTAGCATTGCTTTATGATGCCTTGGTGTAATCTTTTACCATTACTTTTCTCCTGCAACCCTGTATTTGATTGTTGGGGGAGGAGGAGATGTAAGCACAGACTGTTAGGTTGATGTCCAGGACAAACAGTATGATCCTTGGAAGCTTTAGATCTGAAAGAATGACTGTCCTGAACTTGAGGTCAGTGCCTTTTTTGATATAGCTGGTGCAAATCTGGGACTGAGGGATTCATCAGGCTTCTTAGTGGTCATTAACGCGTCTTTTACCTGGCCCAGTGAATAGATATGACAAACATCATAAGGTGTCTGATTACCCTAACATGTTTCAGCATATCCTGGTTAAATCAGGGTGCTGGGCTCTGGCTTACTCTCCCAGATGTTCCCACAGGCACTGAGAGGTGCTGGTAAGGTAGTCAAACTTATTTATGCCACGTCAAAAGTTGTAGTCAGGACAAATAATAGTGACTGAATGGCCCCTTATTGTTTCGGTGGGCTAGAAATGCTGTTCCCTAGGCCTGTTCCTGAGCTCTGTGTAGGGTGTGATCAACCAGGTCTGTCAGAAATCTGGGTATAAAGATACTTCCTTTCACTTTGGGTTGAAACATGTTTGGAAAAATCAGTGAAACGAGACAGTGCAAAACTTTCTTCTATACTGAGTGGCTATCTTCATTTTACAATAGGTCAGCTGTTCTCCATGACTAGGAGAGGTCTGTAGTCTCACTCTGACTTTGAACTCCCATGAACTGTAGGGAACTAGAGAGAAAATCCTTTGCCCAAAGGAGTAAAGTGACTTTACATCCTTGTACATGGTAAGGTAGTGCTGAATCTGAGTGGTTTTGGTTTGTACCTTCTCCGTGGGAAGCACAACGACAGTGAGGACCTCTGGAGCGTGTCTGACTGTAACCAACAGTGGTGATGCACCCACCAATTCTTCCCCAAAACCACCGTGCAGAGCAGTTCGGGTACTGTGCATTTTCTAAAAATCTGACAAGATCAACACTGATTTTTTTTTTATTAATATTTTTTTTTAGGTCCAATAGAAGATGTTCAGTATGGGATTCAATTCTCCAAATTTCATAGCTATAACTTTTCTTTGTTGCAGGGACACATCAGGGCAAGGAAGATTTTGCACAATTTTCAGATCCTACTCTAGAGGAGCCCAGGTAAGTGCTGCTATCAGTGCTTTGGTGGGACACACTTGCTTTTCCTTTAGGCTCTAAAAATCTTTTGGGCCATAGTAAAGAGCTCTGAAGAGGAACACATCAAACATCAGAAGGATGGGATCTGTGTAAATGCCAAGAGGCGCCCTGTGTATCGTCTCACTGCCTGGTATTCTGTTTTTATGAAATGGTGGGAGAGAGAGGAGTGAATGACAGACTTTCCTAGACTCCTACAGAAAAGGGCTGTTACAGACTACACTCAGTATTAGCTTCTTAGCTTCTAGAGAAGGGCTGAGAAGATGGAGTGATAAAGGACAAGGAAATTCTAGTTGTCGATCTGCCTAAGCTTTAATGTGGGAGCTCGTACTTTCTGAGGTTTGTCAAATTTGTTTAAATATGATGCCGGCTTTCCCAGTGGAGTTCTCCCAGTCTGTGTTGCCTTCAAGTCAGTTCCAAAAATAGGGTGGCTCCTACTTGCATGTTTGATGGAGACTTGAAACTAGAGCAGCTCAACTGGATCGTAAAGTGTGTTCTTTAAAACATAAGACAGAGTGTTACATTTTGAGTTTCTTCTTTGGGCCCTGCTCCAGAATAGCATCTAGATTCTGAACAGCAGGAAAATCTTGTGGTCCTCTGAAAAATTGCTGTTAGTTAATGGCGCTTTCTTACAGCCTTATTTGTTGTCCTTTTAGTAACATGACAGGCTCCCTCCAGGATAAAGTCTCCCTGAGTTAAATGAACTACCGTATTTTCCCTTTTGTTTCCAAATTGGAAAACTTTGGAGAAAATTCCTCCTGTCTTAGACTCTGAGAGTCGGAAGCTATATATCAGCCTCCTCGACTGTGCCAGTATTCTAGCAGCTTCCCAGCCTTTGGGAAACTTTGCCACTTTTATTCAAGCTCTTGCCACTATTGCTCTTGGCTTTTTGCTCCTTGTAGCTGTAGACCTTTGCTTTGCTAACTGGCAAAATCCATCTCTCAGACTTCCTGCCAATTCACTTGTGCTGTAGACGTGAGAGCACTTCGCCTGGGATGTGCTGTTGATATCTCCTCTGGTGTCTCATTTATTCTTGTTTGTGTTCATCTCTGGGGTTGCGGATGCTTTGAGGCAGCTCCTTTGAAGTGGAGGCCAATTTCCTAGTGCTTACAGAAGTGCAAGGCAGGGAGTGTTAGAGCATGCCTTCTGCAGTGGGAGAGTACAGGATCTCCCATTCGCATGCTCAGTCCCAAGTGTGAGTTTATCTTTAAGCTTTTCTCTGCCCTTTCAGAAAAATCTAGAGCTCCAATCCTAATGTAACCCGTGGGCCTGAGACCATGTCACTTCCCTTACCAGTTATAAACGAACAGAATCAGTCAGTGTGGCTTTCTGATGACCACATAACTTAGATTTGGTCAGTCTTTTTCTGAGACCTTGCTGTGTCACATGCCCAGACCAAACTGGGAATATAAAGCAGCAGGCTTCCAGCTCATGTGTCCAGAATTATAATTGGAGAGCTTTTACCCCTGTCTGCAGCACGACCTGCTTTTCCAAACTGCTGTACAGAAGACTTTCTCCCCTCTGTGTAGACGCGAGCTCCTCGGAGCAAGTGCTGTGGCTCCACAGGACTGCTCCCAGCAGAGCCTGCACCCACACGCCAGAACTCGTAGCTGCTGCCACCATACAGCGAACTGGGGCAGACTGGAAAGGTGAAATAAGTAGCGATGAGAATACTTGAACGGGATGGAGACACAGGTATGCATCTGTTTAGAAACTGCAGAAGAGCTGTAAGGCTGCAGCCTGTTCTCCCTGGCACTACGTTTGACACCGGATGACATAAGGTGTCATGTATCTGTCTGACCTTTAAGCTTGAAATGGATCACATTAATCTTCCTCAAAATGAAGTTCTTGATCTTATTCGCTTTGGAGACAACATCTTGCCCTTCTGTATTTATCAGTATTGCTTTAGGAACTCTCACCTGAATATCTGCAAGGCTTGCCTCACCTATCTTATCTGCTTCCCCCTCCCAAGGTGTCTGTCTGAGAGACGTTCGCAATAAACCTCATCAGCCAGGGAGCAGGACCTTTAATGTGAATGCTTTATTGCTGAATGCTGGGGTATGGTGCTTAGTTGCACACCAAGGTGTAACCTACGCCTTTTCCTTAAGGTCTGCATTCTGCTTGTTCAGCAGATGCCTTTTCCAAAGTGCTGTTGCGACGCCTGCATCCTGATCTGCTGAAACAGTCAACCCTCACCCTTAAAAACAACAAAACAAGCCCTAAAAAGCAAGCCTGCCTGGTGGGAGGGAGGGGTAGCTCCCAAGTGAAGTATCTCCTCTGACCTCTGATACTGTTCATGAGATGAGCACAGTGAAAAGAGGGTGCCTCTTGAAGACTAATAGCTGGAGTTCTTGTAGTCTTCTCCAGCTAGCTTGAAATAAAATTTGGATTGGTTTCAGCATCAAGTGATTGGCTTTCATGTGGCAGTACCGTAATATTCCTGTATTAGCAGGAATACAGATATTGTCTCTCTTAAATAACTCACCACATCTTTCAATGGAAGAGGAAAGTAACTTAAACTCTTAATGGTTAACCAAAGCAAGAGGACTGTTTGTTTTGAATAACAAAAGTCTGTATGACTGCAAGAATGGACTTCAATACCTCCAGTTATTTTCAGTATGCAGAAGCTAACTTATGGCATAGCATTAGCATGAAGACAACCCAGTGTGGTCTCGAGGGGTAAAAGAGATAAAATGCTCTCAAGTTCTCTAATTTCTTGTAGATGTATTTAATGCTGAGTGCTATACCGACTCACTTGCTTCAGCTGTCTGCTTTCCTCTCGGTATCATCAGACTTCGAGACTTCTGCTGTAGGAAGCCTGATGCAAATCCAATTGGAGGCAAGAGGAACAGCTTTTTTTAACCTAACGAGCCAAAAGCTCAGGAAGAATAAATACAGCAAAGAGGAGAGATGCCAGGGTGGGAAAAGCTCTGTTTAAAGTGCGGTGTGGTATTTGTACGAGAATGGATTGGTATAAACTGGCCACATGCACCTTCACGCTCAAAATGAGCAAAAAGCTTTCATTGAGTAGAGGACTGAGACTTTGAACTGAGCCTCCTATGAAGAGAATAAGGGTAGCTTGAAGAAGGAGTTTCCGAGGAGGGCTTTGATGGGTCAGCTGTGGGAGCAGGGGCTGGCCTCAGCAACCTGGCAGCCCTTACAGAGGTGACTGAGAACAGGGTGGGTCTATCTGAATAGCCAGCACTTAAGAGAATACTTGGTATGAAAAATGCCTTCAAGTAAGGGAAGCACACCTGACTTTCCCCCCCCTACACACGCACCTTATTGTTTCTCAAGTGTAGTGATAAGAATTAAGTCTTCTGAGGTAAACCCTGGAGAGATTGCAAAGTGGAAAAATAGTCTCCAAATAGGGAGCAGACCTTCTTGGGAGTTTTCCTTTCCTCCACAGCACAGCCTCGTGCATTGCTCAGTCTAGACTTCAGGCTAGTTCCTCCCCAGTGAAAGGACTCTCCTTGAGTACCTTGATGCCTTCCCCAATTTAGGTTCTACACCACTTGCCTGGGTACATAGCCCTGTGGCTTTCATGTTCAGCAGGAACTTCTTCCTCATGAAAATATCTAAAGGAAAATAGCTTCACTGCCCTTGATGAGCTGGCTTCAAATGAGGACCAGTCCCTTCTTTCAGCCAAGACAGACCAGCCACGTTTGCCTCAGGATTTGCTGTGAGGATGACAGATCTGTCTTGCCTTTCCGCCCTGCCTAGCTGATCTGATCTCATTAGGTATATAATGAGCAATTTGGCTCAAGGTGGAGGCTTGTGGCATTTTGGTGTGCCTGGGACCCCCCTCCCTTTCTCTTCTTGCTTCCCTGGGGTTTGAGTTTCTGCTTTCTTATCACAGCTACTTTCATCATCTCTTCCCTCTTAGGGTCTGCTGGGCTAGCAGGTCCTGACTGCATTGCTTCAGGGTCTCACTGTGGGGCAAAAAAGAAGCAATTGTGTCTGGGATCCCCTTCTAGGCACTGGAAGGTCAGGGGGAGTGTGCTGGCCACATCATGGTGGATGCAGGGCCAGGGGAGGGTGGAGGTGGAAACCCAGGAGTGTTGCAACCTGCAGAACCTCGGGGTGTCTGGAGCTTGCTGTGTTGCAGAATTTTTATACTGTCACAGCATAGGGTCTGGTGAAGGGTATTTAATGATGCTTAAAGGTGCTGCAAAAAGCTTTTGTTTTGCTCTTGGACTTTGTTCTTTGGCTTTTTCTTCTTGGCTTTAAGGTCTCAATCACACCGACAGCAGAGCTGACACACTGATCTCAAGTGTTGCATGCAGCTGTGGCTTTTCTGGCTGCTGTGAGCAAATGCAAGCTATTCCAAGAGTCATCACAGAGGGGAGAAAGAGAGTTGTGGTGCCGCTTTCTGATCTAGCGAGGAAGAAGCAGTGCTAGTATTATTTCTGATGTCCTCCTGTGCTAGTGATTTAAACTGTTTCTGAAAATGTGGCTTGCCAACTCTTCCCAGACAGTGTGATACAGGAGGTCCTTCATGAAGTTTCAGACCATCTACAGGAATCGTTGAAAAATGCTCTCAGCTTAGAGCAAAGCTACAGCCCTAACACAATAATGAATATTGTTGAGTTTTGCTTAGGCAGGTGATTTGAGTAGCTGCTGTTTATCCTGTTCAGGGCTTCTTAGTATGCAGGAAGGTGGTGGCTCTTTTGGCAGCTCAGCAGACTGAGATGTAGGCTCTGTTCTACCTTATGGCTTTCTTGTTTGCAGCAAATACCCTACCTGCATCAGGTCATTTTGACGGGGTTGTCCCGCTGCTGGAGGAGTCTGCCCTGCCTGCCAAAATGTTTATCAAAAGCTCAGTGATAAATAAACCCCCTCAACGTGTTGTGCTGTTGGGACATGGTTTGGCAGCAGGATGTAGTTGCTCATGAGCCAAGGTCCAAGGTGCCAGCTGGAAAGACATGACCAAACGTGGCTCTGAAAGAGCAGGCAGGAGAGACACAAAGTGTTCTGGTTGCCATTAGCACTGAATCTTTTGTTTATGGTTTATTTCATCCTGGGGGCCAGAGAAATCCCGTCTGGGGGGCCTTCCAGGCTTCTTCAACAACAGTTTTTTTTTCCATGGGTGGAGAACACCAGCGAATGATGCTTTCCTGGCCACCATGTCACCTGCCTGCAAACCGAGGTGAGGTCTTTGGCAGTCGTGCAAGCACTTTTCCTCCCAGCAGAGTTCTTGTGTGTTTGTGTGAGCAGCTGGAGATCCAGCTCCTAAAGCATCTGAGAAGCCTTTCTGGAGAAGTCTGCTTTGCACTGATGGGTGAGCATGCTGCTTCTCTCTCACCTTTAAAAGCTTATTGCTTATAAATCTGGTCTAAACCTAGCGCAAACAGCCAGAGCTGATACTTCCCCCCACCCTCCACCTTGGTTGTGTGGGCAGATCTTCATGTAAGCTCCTGATGAAAACAAGTTTGGGTTTTGGCAGACTAAGAGTCCACATGAGCTGCTGGATACAATAAGGGATGATCTGTCTGTGTTCCTTGTTTACTACATGATGTACTCGTGTGGAAATTTGATGCTGGTATGCTAAGGGTCATGCCAGTCCCAGTAGCGTTGAACAAAAACAGAGTGGAAATGAACTTTGAAAAGCAGTTATGAAAAGACCCAAGACAGGTCTGGGCATGAGTTCAGTCCTCTTCCACCTCACACAGAAGCCTGTAGGCAGATTGAGGAGAAAAAAGAAGAAAGACTGTTGGAGGGTTGGTGAGGGGTACAGAATACCCTTCATCTGAGAAACCTGGGTGTGCGGGTTTTCACTTCACGCTGTGGGAACCTGAGGTACATAGTGCTTACAAAGGTGCTTTGTGAAACTAAAAATTAAGAGGTATGGAGATATCATGGTGTTGACAGCCGTCTAGGCACTCAGAGAACAATTTAGGCTGCAAATGGGAAACTGATCATTTGTCTAGTTGAGTAAATTAAAATTCTGTGCACATTATTCCAAAGGAGACTTTTTAAAAAAAAAAAAAATGAAAAAAAAAGACAGATCTAACTTGGAACTGTCTGCAGAGCTGGAGCCAGCTCCCTGTCTGCAGGCATGAGTGTGTACTGTTCTCTCTAGGGGAGAAAACAGTAATGAAAAAGTGTGTTTGGGATGTGCACTCTAGAAATGTGGTGTCTGGAGCATGCCAGTGCTATTTGGAAGAAACATGAGGTTGTCTGGCAGTGCCGTGAGCTGGCCAGAGGTTTTAAGACTGCTTCCTCCATCTTCTGCTGAGTTACAGTAAAGCTGATCTTAATACCCATGCTGGGGAGGGTGAGGGCAGAGGCAGGGCATTAGCCAACTTGGCCTTGGTGTCTTCTGACCTTTGGGAAGCTTTCCTTGACAATCTTAACTCAAAATATGCATGCATGAAGCTGTGTTACGACTTGGAGGGTACCTGGCAAGCTGCGTGTTGTCTCTTGTGAACTTGAGGCTGTGTTTTTGCTGATGTTTTATCCTTATTCATATTTAAAGAAGATCCAGGCTGCAGCTGCCAGCAAGCTTAAAAACTCTCTCCTCCTAGAGCATTATTTCTAGCAGAAACAATCTTCACAAACCTAGGTCTTGGGTCTGTTTCTCTTGGCTAAAGGAACTTGTCAATCCAGAAATAAAATAAGTAGACTTTATTTAACTTACTGGCAGTTTGTCTTGGAAGGGGGTCATCGAACTTTTTGCTTTGTTGTTTCCTGACTCTCATTCATTCACATGTGCAGCCTTGGAAGCTAGAAGTCAAAACAAATATAACAAAAAAAGAAAAGAAAGCTCAGTCTTTTTTTTTTTTCCTAAAATGCACTTAAAATGTGATGTATCCTGCTAGTAGATATCTCTTGATTGGGTTCTTAAAAAACAGTATCTTTGGTTTTGTGATATTTTTTTATGTAATTAAAAATTCCTGTCTAAACCTAGAAGAAACTGATTCTCTTCTCCAAAACAAAACCAACCTCCAGTTCTTTTTGAATATGAAGCTTTTTGGCTGTTCTAGAAATGACACTGCAAAAAATTATGGACTCTGTGCATGAGCTCCAGGCTTTCCTTGGAGGGAACTGAAGATGCATCTGCTCTCACCACCCCACAAATATTTCTGCAATTATGAAGACTCATCGTCAGGTCCCTCGGAACAACCTCAAACCCAAACTTTGAAGCGCTTACTCTTGATGTTGAGCTATCAAACATGAAAACCAACCCACCACACGTGACTTTCCTTTTGTACCCTCTCCCTTTCTCTTTTTTTTTTGTATGTTTGAGCCTTTCTGCAAATGGTACAAACACAGATGCATAGATGTTGGAGGGCCGGCAAGGACAGAAAATCTTCACCTGAAGAGCGACTGCCTGGGGTGGAAGAGCTGTGCGATGAGGCTGGGGATAAAGCTCCAGAATCAGAATCGTTCCGATTATAAAAATTATAAAATTGGGCAGGCTTTGTGATAGCTGCTTATTCTGAAAGAGCTGTGAGAGAAAGGCAAACAGCATTGAGTCACACCCAGCACACTCAGAAAGGCTCATTTTCCACGTGGGGGGAATGCTTCAAGTGCCAGCTCAGAACATGTCTTTATTATGAGGATTCGGGTGCCTTTGTGGCTCAGGTGCCCTGGAGTTTATCATTCCCATGTGCTCCAGATCTCACGCTGATGATCATTTTTTCATAAGTTTGAGGTGTATCATGTACGTGGCTTCTGTACAGGTTTCCCCCAGCTCATCACGGGCTTTGGCAGCAGCAAATATTGTAAAGCTGTGTTTTGGGACGACTGGGTAGTTTGCGTTTCCCATCTGTGTAGTGGATCTTCCATTTCAGTGAGTAAAGGAGCAACTCCACTGGTATGTGAGAGTGCTTGGCGGTCCCTGACTTGTACCAGGACAGATGCTAGGCAGTTTGTCAGCTCACTCCTTCACTGGGCTGTATCTTGATATCTCCTAGGAAGGACTGGGCTGCCAGATGAGACTTCCCTTTGCCAACTTAAGGTCTCTTTTTCTTGCATTGAGGACTTGCTGTAGGGGGTGGCTGTTCCTGTAGGACACCCCTGATTCAGAGAAGACTGGTTCTGCTGAGCTTGCTGCTAAATGATCTGTTATCCTGGAGGCTAGCGTGGGCTGGTTTGTTTTGCCCTTAGCTTAGTCTTACTGCTGCTGGGTTACCTTTCATCTGGTGCTGTGTTCCCAGCTGCAGTGTCTCCTCTTGCATTGTGAGATCATCTGTTCCTCCTTAGTTCCCATTTCAGGGCATCTTCAACTACGATTCTGTGAAGTAACCTTGAAGTGCCTGTTGTCACTTGAAATGTCCTTGATTGCAAAGAAGAGAGTGACAAGAAGTCAGAAAAATAACAGGAGAGTTGCAGAAAAGCTGCTGCTGAAGACAATCCTCTAAATGCTGTATGTGCCCAGTCGGTACTGAGAGGCAGCTCCTGATGCATTGTCTTGTGTGCCTGCAGGGCCGTGCATAGCCTACTTTCCTTGTCTGTGTCCTCAGGAATACTTTGATTAGAGAAAAGCTCACTTGATACAAGTTGCTGTGGAGCTGAGTGGTGGCCAGCAGTCTGGCCATGGCCCCGAGTCCTGCTAGCCCGGCCCGGGCCAAGGGTGGAGGCTCTCAGAGGTGCTGCTCTGTGTCGTCACAGCTTCAGGCACAAACAAAACAACTCGGCCTTGAGTGCATCATTGTGCTGCACCTCGAGAGGTGACTGGGATTGTGGATGTGGGTGCTGTTCAGGGAAGATGGATATGGGCCTGAGGATGCTGTAGGTACCTCTCTTCCCAGAAGAAAGGGGGGGGGGGGGGGAAGGTCCTACAGCGAGACCTTTGATGTGACCCTTGCGGGGTTGCCAGCATCGCTGTACTGTGCTTATTCTCTGCCAGTGTGGCAGTGACAATTAGCAACGCCAGCTGCCCTCAGCAGAGCCCGGCATGGATCCTGGTCATGAGATCTCAGTCCTGCAGAGATGCTGGGTTGCTTATTGGCATCACTCAACCTCTTCCTTGCCAGCAAAGGGATGACAGAATGAGACAGGTTCCGGAGGGGGAAAACATGCTGAAGATGGGTGTGCTTTATTAACTTCATCATCCTACCACTGAATGCAGCCCTTCTGCAGAAGGGAAAAAGACTTTTTTCTGCCTCAGTGAACTTGTATCAGATTTGTGACAGGCAGAAGGCATGTTTTGTTCCTCCAGATACAGTCACCAAGGCAGTTCCTCCTCCTCTGTAGAGACTGCTGCTTTGGAAATGATTTGGGGGATGTTCAAGCCAAAACAGGAGTAAAACCTTCCCTAATAGTCTGGGACTGAGTTAGTACAGGCCTGTTGTCTCAATTTTTGCTCTAGCAAGCACACAACTAGTGCAGCTGAAGCAGTGTTCTGTTCCGTAGCCTTTTGGTTTCTGCACATGAAGGTGGTCTCTCAGGCGTGTCTCCCTTCCATTCTGTCTACTGTGAAACTTCCTGATTGCTCCCGATTTTCTTCCACCAGGGAATTCTTTTGGTGTACGACATCACTAATCGCTGGTCCTTCGATGGCATAGACCGATGGATAAAGGAGATAGATGAGGTAAGTTGAATGGAAGAATACATGCAGTGCTCTGTAGCAAAAATTTGGGAAGGTATCACCTGAGGTGCCACCTCTGACGTGAGGACGAGACAGTCGGCTAATAAGCAAAGCAAGGGGACGAGTGTCTGCCCTCCACCTCTGTATAAATCCGAAGTGATAGAAAAGGGCTTGGGAAGGGTCAAGAAAGATAGGAAGGTTCCCTCTGAAGTGGACTGCGGCGGGGATAAATTAGTAGTCTTCATCATGTAGTAGTACTGCTTGGCAGTCCCCCTCGGTCACAGAGCAATTTCTAATTCTTTGCCCTTCACTGCTGTTGCAGCTAAGCAGAATAATGGCTGTAGGCTGCCTTTACGAAGGACAAGCCATGATTTCTCTACTTTCATTTTTTTTTTTTAAGCACGCTCCAGGTGTGCCTCGGATCCTGGTGGGAAACAGGCTTCACCTTGCCTTCAAGCGGCAGGTGCCAACGGAGCAGGCCCGGGCTTACGCGGAGAAGAACTGCATGACGTTTTTTGAGGTCAGCCCCCTGTGCAACTTCAACGTCATAGAGTCCTTCACAGAGTTGTCCCGTATCGTCCTCATGCGGCACGGCATGGAGAAGATCTGGAGACCCAACAGAGGTCAGTGGTGAGGAGGGTGCTCCGTGTGGGGAAGGCAGGAGAGCTGTCTGGGTTGATGTGGAAGGGTAGGTCCGACTGCCTACGTGGGAGGTGTGTTTGTTAGTAACTGTGGGATCTGAAAGCACCTGACACGGAGAAACGCTTCGGGTCAGACAAGCCGAAGCTGAGCCACAACAAGCTGCCTGTATTAGCGCAGGAACCCGGCAGGCAGCGGTGAGGGATGGGCAGCTCCAGAGGGCAGTTCAGCACGGCTGGGATCTGAATTGCTCTGGGGCATCCCACACCTCTCCACCTATTCTGGATGAGGCTGTGGGCAATGAAGCTCACAACTTGAAAGTACTTCAATCAAATGGCTGTGTGGGATGAATCCAAGCATAAGCACCCCTGTCCTTACCCTTGCTTTGGGTTGAAAGACCTTGCCTTTCAACCCGAGGAGCTGAAAGGGGCTATATCATATCCCTGCTGTATGCCATATATGCAGGCACACGTGCTGCAGCGTGGCAAACCATGGGCAGATTCCACCTTACAGCTCAGCCTGTTGAGTTGAAAGCAAAATAGGCTTAGGTGTCAGGTTCCTGGCTGGAGGTAGCAGTGTGCCCCCCGGCAGTCTGAGCAGCAGGGGATCTGCGCTCCTGGGGTGACCTGCCTTCACATGGATCCTCAGCTCCTGCTCACCAGGGAGGGAAAATCCTGTTTGCCAGCCCCAGTTACCAAATTGCCTGCCTGGGCCCCTGCCCCCCGACCTGGCTGCCATGCCACTGTCTCCAGCTCGCAGAGGGATGGGGAGCAGGAGCTGGGCTGTGCTCGCAGAGCTCTCCTGAACCTCGTCCAGAGGCAGGACCTGTAACTGCTGCTGCCTTGCACTGGCTGCCTGCACTGCTTGCTTCGGAGGGGGGGGTGCAGGTTGAGCCTGCCTGCTTTGGGGAGTGGCTGGGGGCTGCCAGCTTGGGAACAGCAGCGTGGCTTTTGCGGCAGGCCGGAGGTGGAAGCGTGCCCTCCTGTGGCTGCTTGCTGGGAAATCCCCTCCGAGGAGACTTCCCAAAGCAGGCTCGCATGATGGACACTGAGCTAAGAGGACGCTGGGGAGCCCGAAAGGGCAGGGTGGTCTGGCTTGGTGGGATCCCTGTGGCTGCAGGCGTGCTGCAGAGAGCCAGCGCCGTGCCTTGCTGCTCCCCGAGCAGGTCCCAAGTGAGACTGTCCTGCTCTGGGGCTCTGCGCGTCCTCCTGATTTCCACGCAGTGGCCTGATGGTTGCCAAACGGTCGACTGAGAAGCCAAGTGTCTGGCAGGAACGTGAGCAAGGCACTGCCTGCCCTGGGCAGTGCTCAGAGAGGAAGAGTGGCAGTGTCCAAGCCCCGTGCTGACCTTGAAAAGCACTAACCTTCAACAGCAGCGCTTGCCTTGGGTTTCCCAAGCTTTTGCCCTAACTAAGCTGCTCCTTATTCAAGGCTCCTATGCAACTACTATTAACATCTCTCCCCAAAGGAGCAGGAACTGTGCAGCATAAGGAATAGTTGTGGGGAGAAGGCAGCCCTTGAAATCTCCTGGCCCTTGACTGTCTGGTCTTCTCTCCCACCAGTGTTCAGCTTACAGGACCTGTGCTGTCGAGCTATCGTTTCCTGCACCCCAGTCCACCTCATCGACAAGCTGCCGTTGCCCGTCACCATCAAGAGTCACCTGAAATCCTTCTCGATGGCCAACGGGATGAACGCAGTGATGATGCACGGCCGGTCGTATTCCTTGGCCAGCAGCGGGGGTGGGAGCAGCAGCAAAGGTAACAGCTTGAAGAGATCCAAATCGATTCGTCCACCCCAGAGCCCCCCACAGAACTGCTCACGCAACAACTGCAAGATCTCTTAGCAGGATGGACGCGCCCGTGAGCTTCTAACGTATCCACACCCACCCACCAATGTACAGCTGTTTGCACACTTAACCCTTTTCGACTGGATCCTTTCGGATGGGCCGCGGTCGCTTTTCCGATGGCACGCACGAGCGTTAGGAATGTGCTCACGTTTTGGCTTCACATGGGAAGCGTGGTGCAGGCTGGATCTCGCAGCGCTGGCGGGGGGGAGGACTCTGCCAAGTGACCCTCCAAGAATGCTTTGGGCTTTGCCTTTTGGCCTGGGGTGGAAAATTCAGCAGCTGCCGGGTTGGGGAGGGGGGGAAGGGGGAAAAAAAGCTCATCCAGTCTCAATGGAGAAATGGATTTAATGGAAGATTGAGAGGCTTAAGAGAGTAGGCAAGGAGAGTCTGTGCTGCAACTTTAACTCTTGGACTCCTGAACAGATTGCTGGTGCAATAGTGATTGTGGGATGGAGGGAGAAAAAAAAAAAAAAAAGAAGAAATGGGAACAGGAATCTAACGACAGTTTTCACTGGGATGTTAACCTGCTGTTGCCAAAAAAGAAAAAGAAAACAAGGCAAGAGTTGGCCGATTAGAAAGGGGAAGAAAGCAGTCTGCTTGCCTTCTTCATTTATTTATGTAAATATTATACATATATATATATATATCTATCTCACTTGTTTTTTAAGGTTTTTTTTTAAGAAGCAGTCAGGGAAAATTTTATGCAGCCATGTAAATACAGGCACTGGATTAACTTTCCCAGTGTCAGCAAAGGGGGAGAAGTGGAGGATTTTGATGAAAATATACAAATGCTTTAAAAGACTTTCAATCACCACCTGGGCTTACGCTTGGTTTTTTTTAAATACTACATATGCAGAAGGAAGAACAATTTGTGTGTAACTTACCCCAAGCTGCTTTATTCCAATCATTCCCTAAAACTTGTGTGGAAGGCAGGGTGGGATGTCAGTGGATCGAGGGGCAGAGTGGAGAGGCCAAGGTCTCGGGGTTTGGTTTTGGCAGGCAGGACGAAGAGGCAGCTCTCGGAACAGACTGATGCCTTGCTCGCTTTGCACCTTCTGATGAACGGCTGACAGGGGCCTGAGGAGCAGAGAGTAGAAGCATCGTGCCTAAAGCAGAGGAAAAACTCTGATTTTTATCTTTTTTTTTTTTTTTTTTTTGTCCCTTATTGCTGCAAAACCTCAGCCATCGCTTCCGGAGCCCTCCATCCACGACGCCACCCCACGCAACAGCCCCCGAATCCTGGCTGCTTCTTGCTTTGCCTTTCCAAAGACATTCTGCCGGCGCTTAGCGCCGCTGCGGCTCCTCCTGGATGAAAGTGGGGAAAGGGCAGAAGCAGCTTTTTCCCACTGGAGTGTGAAGGAGCCAGGGACTGGGAAGGCGAAAGAGGTTTGTGTGAGGAAACGGCAGACCCCGGCCCCCAGGTCCAGTGGTGGCAATTGCGCTTGGCTCTGATGGCAGCGCCAGGGAATTGGGGAAGCAAATTGCTTTGCTCTGTAGGGCCACTCCTGGATTTTAGAGGAAATGCGTGCTCAGCAGCGGGAGCTTGGGATGCACGCGTGCTGTGGGAGAAGATCTTGTGTCAAGCCAAGGGCGTTTTTTTTCCCTGGCTTCGTCCCATGGCTGATCTGTGCTGGAAATTCACCTGGAAACTTAGAAATAGCGCCTAGCCCCCATTGCAAAAGCTACGTCGGGCTTGGCAGTTGGGACTAAGTTATGTCGGCAGATCCTCGTATAGGTGGCCAGGACGTGTAGATCGTGAGTGAGTGTGGTAGAAAGTGAACTGCGTTTCCTCGTGCTGGGCCGGTTTCCTCCTCAGCGAGGAGACCAGGCGGGATAGTGCTGCCATCTTCCTCCTGGTGTTAGCAATTTCTCGAGGCCTGGGCGTGCTCTCCTTCTTCCCCCACCCCCCCCCGCCCACCCCCAAGAGCAGCTGGTTGCATTGCATGGGCAGAATGAAGCCGCAGCGGCTCCGGCGCGGCCGACGGACCCGCTTTGTTCAGGCAGCGCTGCAGGGGCTCATCCCTTCCCCTTGCTTCCGCGCCCACCCGGGAGGTGAAGGAGCCTTCCCCCCTCCCCGCTCTGTAGAACAGAACACAGGTCTCTTGGCTCGTCTCTAGCCTGCTTTATTGCCCAGCTCAAATGAGCGAGGAGAGAATTAAACCCCGGGCAGATGGAGCGGGAAGAAGAATCCTTTGTAGTGGTGGTTTGGCTCAAGAGCAAAGCCGCAGCCGAGCTCGGCGCGGTGGCGTGAAGGCCGGGGGATTTCGAGAACCTGTCTGGGACGGCTGGCACCTGTTTCCCATCACTTAACACACAGCAGAAGACAATCGCTGGCTCAGCAGCCCGGGGATATACGGCCAACAGGTGATCGGCACCACAAAAGGCGACTTCTCCTGGAAAACCTCCTCCGGGCACCGCAGGGCCCCCCCACCAGCCTGCCCGCCCCCGGGCACCGGGGTGGAGAGGGATGAAGGTTTCCTTCCTCAGATCACAAAGCTGCTGCATGGCTAGAAGAACTTGATGTACCTCTGCTTGGTTTGGCTTTGCCACGTGTGACACCACCTTCCACCTTTTTCCCTGTGGTTGATTTCCCCCCCCCCCCCCCCCCCCCCCCCCCGTAAGGTCTCAACAGATCCTGTCTGTAGTGAGGATGAAAGGTTTATCTGGAGTGATTGCTCAGCAAACAACGTTTTGTTTTGGTTTTGTTTTAATTTAAAAGAAAAAGATTCTTGCATCTGATGTCAACACTAGCGTGTAGCTGCTCTCCAACACTTGTACCATTCCTGAGTTGTTTTTTTGGACTATCGTTTTATTTTTTTATTCCTTTGTACAGTCAATGTTGTTCAACCGATTATACATGGTTTTGTTTTGTATAAATTAAAGTCTTTTGTTTTGTTTTGAACTACTAATTGAAAGGTGGCTAAGTTGTATCAATTTTCCTGTGGGCTGGGAAGAGGTTGAAGGGAAAAACTTTTGCCTAAAACTGGGGCTTTGGGGCTGCCTGTGGTGCAGGTGTGTGTTGCCACGTCCAGATCATCCACAGAATAACTGGTATAACATTTTCTGGGGAGTCTTAAAAATGCATGATTCCTGGCCCTGGTGGGGTTTTGCCCTTCTCTATACGTGCGGAAGCTAAATCTGTTCTTATTAAAGGCTTGATTCCCGCAGAATTGCTGATTTTGGGGTAGTGGAGCTCTTAAGGAAAGGCAGACTAGTCTGCAACACATTCAGTGTCCGAGGTGGCTGCGGGCAGCCGCACTCCCCAGCAGCGTGGGGGGGTTAGGCACAGTCCCTGCTACCCGGGGATGGGTTTTGCAGATACAGTCAAAGCCTTAAATCACCTCTTTGGGTCCAGGCGATCCTGGGGGAGCCGGGACCCGCTGCTGCGACACCATTCACCCATCCTACCCAGACGGGACCAAGCTGAAAGTCAGCCTGGGATAACCGTGACTCTGGGCTGGGGCGGATGCCGCGGGCGGCTCGGAGCCCCCGTGTCACGCTGGGCCGTCCCCGGGGCTGGTGTTCAGAGGCATCGCCTGGGGCCAGGAGCCCCAAAGAAGCAGGGTTTGCTCCTGGGGTGGAGGGAAACTTTTCCTCTCCTGATCCTTTTCTCTCTCGCTCCCAGCCCACCTCCCCTTGACCTCCCTTTTCCCTTGCCTGCTTGCTTCCCTAGGATCAGATTTTCCACTTCGTACCAGACTGGCCACGCTTGTTTTAACAGCTTAAATCGTAATTGCCGGGGCTGGGAGGGGGCACGGGGGGGGAAATGAGATAGTGTCTGCAGCCTGGAAAACCCTGGAGCTAAGGTGAAAGCCTGGTCAGGGAAGAGTCATGGAGATTTTTTTTTTTTTGCCTTTGCAGAGGGGTTCTGGAAGTGTCTGTTCCCTCTGGGCAGCAGAGCCGAAACAAAGGCTGTGTGTGGTTTCAGGTGGGGTACGGACAGCCGGAGCCCATTACGCTGGAGCAGCAGGGGCTGCCTTTGCTGCAGCTGTCTCTGCTCGGGAAGAGGAGGGCAAGAAAACACGCTGAGCAGCCTGAACGTCAGGGGGAAAGGCTGGAAGAGCTTCAGGGGTCCCTGTTCCTTGGAGGAAGAGGAGGGAGCAGGTTGCTCCGGGCTGGTTCAGGTCTTTCCTAGTGGCGTGCGTTTCTCCGAACCCACCGCCCCGGTTTGAGGGTGTCTTGGGTTGGTCCTGCTGTCCCCCGTGGGGGTTGTACCCTGAAGGCTGGGAAGAACTGGTGACCTTCATCTGACTGCACCGGAGATGCTTGAAAATGAAGGATGCATGGTGGGGCCGGAGCCCTCGGGCACGGCGCTGTGCCCTTCCCTCCGGGACGGGGTGCCGAGCCGCTTCCTGCGCTCCCTTGTCTTGAAGGGAGAAGCTGAGCCATAAAACTCCCATCCGTGCCTGGCATCTTTGAAAGTGACCCCCCAAAAGCCCTGTTTTGGGGTGCAGTGGATGCGTGGAGGCAGGCAGTTTGGGAGAGGCTGAAGTTACGGCTGCTTGAAGCCTTTAGATGGTGGAAGTCTGTTGTGGGCTTGGTCCAGGGTGGGCAGAATTCCTTTTCCTCCTTCTTCCGAAGCACTAGCAGAGGCCGGGTGGGTGTCCCCGTGCTGGGGTGAGGGTCTCAAGTTGTTGAGAGCTGCATTTCCAACCGCGCAGCATCCAGCACCCCTCGGAGACGAGCCTCGTCCCACCAAGGCAAAAGTTTTCGGCGGGCGCCTGTCCCAGCCTCGCCGCTTTTGATCTCAGTGACACGGGGACGAGGTTGGGCTCCAGTGTGAAACATGGGGGGCTGCTCCCCTGGCTCTGGAGGGGGGCTGCCAGGGCAGGAGCCGACCCAGACACCAGCGTCAGTATCTTCTTAGACCACACGGACCCCAGCGTGGGGATGGACGAAAGCCGGGTTTTGTCTTACCCGCCTTCCCTTCCCTCCTGCACCAGCACCCTCGGAAGGACCCTGGGACACCCCAAAGTGTCTCTGTGCCCCCAGGCTGCCTCCTGGGGCCAGAGCGAGGTGGGTTTGGGGGGTCGAGGATCTCTCTGCATAACGCTGCTGCCGGCAGACAGTGTCTGGAGTCGTCTGGGTGGGTCATGGGGGCTCCAGGCTGCCGGGGGCAGGCAAGGGTACGGCCCCTGGCAGCTCCCGGGACGGGCCGTCCTGATGCAATTCCTTGTTTGCAAAACATCTCATCAGCCACCCCACGAGTGTCCCGGGGCAGCGTAACCTCCCCTCTGTGTCCGGGGCTGGCCGGACCCTTGGGTGGCTGCTTGGCTGTGAAACCAGAGCCCCTTGCACAGCCGCTGGGACACGCTCCGAGCCCCCCACGCATGGTCGGGGCGAGCTGATGTCAGGCCTGCCCCGGTGCTTTGGGATTTCGGGAGCCGCTCGGGCGGGGGAAGCGGCGGCAGTTGCAGGTCGCGGCGCTGTGTCAGTGGCACCGGCTGGAGGTCAGCGTGCCGGGGCACGGCGGCTGCGTCCCGCTCGTGCCAGTGTGGCGAGTGCTGAGGGGCCCCCCCAAACTGCCCCCCAGCAGCCACAGACCGCGGGAGCACCAAACCAGTACGTGCAAAACCAGCTCGGGGGGGGCGGATGAGTTGGTTTCCTCCCCAGAAATGTCAAGAAAAGGCTCTTCCCAATTTTTTGTCCCCTCCACCACCTGGCCCCCCCAGTTTGCAGACCTGCAGAGGGGAGGCTGGAGGTGCTGAGCTGCCCCCCCCCCCGGGGCAAAACCCCCTTGGGTGGGCTTGCTGCTTCCCAGGAGCCGCAGACCCCTCCTCGGTGCTGAGGCGGGTGGGCCGTGGCTCTCCCCAGTGCTGGAAGAGTTAATGCTCCTAAAATGCCATGAAATGTTCCTGCTGCAGGTCAGTCTCCACCGGGGATTAGGGAAATCTGGCCGAGGAGCCAGGGCCGGCTCCTGCCAGCTTAGGGCCGGCTGCGGGACGTGCTCGGCGAGGCAGCGGCGGGATTGAAGCCCAGGCACAGCGTGCCGGAGCAGCCCCACCGGGGTCTGGCACGGCCAGGCGCTGCCTGCCAGCTCAGAAAAAAAGATTGCCTGGCTGTAAATCAGCGGGGAGGGAGGGCTGGGACCTGCCACCGGGGCTGGGTGAGCCCCTCCGGGGGGGGCTGAGGGGGCACCCACCCCGCCGGGCGAGCTGGGGGTCCCGCGCGGGGGCCGCACTCGTGGGATGGCGGCTGGCGAGCGGGGCTCGACGGGGTGGATGCGGGCGGGTGCCAGCGCCCCGCTCCCAGGCACGGGGCTGCCTTTGCCCGTGGTGCCGGTGGGAGCCAAGAGGCGAGGTGTGGGGTGAGGGGCTCCCGGGCCAGCCTGGATCCCCGGCAGTCCCGCAGCGTGGGCTCCTAGTGCCTCCCTGCCTGTGGCCCTGTCCGAGTGGACCACAGAGCTCTGGCTGTTTTCTCATCCTGCAGGAATTCAGCTCCGTGGGCCGGGTGGTTTTTTGGTTGGGTTTTTTTTTGTTTTTTTTTTTTTGAGAGTGTGTGTGTGTGTGTGTGTGTCCCGCCTCCTTTCACTCTCCCTCTTTGGAGACTTTCTGCATTCTGCCTTTGATCTCCCCCTGTGTTTGCCCAGCCGATCGCTGGGCTCGCCGGGGTTAGAGGCTGAGGTCAGCGCCTTTCCCATTCCAAACACCCAGAAACATCAGTGGGAAGGGAGGGGATTCAGATTACAACCTTCCCGTCCTCCCTTTCCACCCCACTCGCCCCGCTCGCCGGGCCGGCAGGGAGCCAGGGATGGACTGAGCCCCTCTCGCCAAGGGACACCACTGCCACCGTGTCCCCGGCGCCCCGAGACCCGAGCGGCAGCGATGGATGGAGGCGGCGGGCGGCATCGCCGGTGGTCCCGCAGGCGCTGGGCGTGCTGAAGGGGCAGAGGTTTGGTCCTCTCCTCCTCCTCCTCCCCTTTGTCCCCCCCCGCCGCCCGCCCGCCTTCTCCCTCGTCCCCTCCATCCTGAATGTGATTTATCCCGAGCCCTCGCCAGCAAGCCAGGCCGGCGGCACGGGGTGGCCAGATGCCTCCTCGTGGGAATTTTGGCCGCCGGGGCCGGCGAGCGGGTGGGCAGCAGCGTGCCCCCATGGGCGTCGCGCTCCTCCTGCCTTTGCTGGCGGCGGCGGCCGGGCTGAGCCTGCAGCCGGGCAGGACGCGGCACCTGGGGGTCTGCCCCAACCAGCTGAACCCCAACCTGTGGGTGGACGCCCAGAGCACCTGCGAGCGGGAGTGCCAGGCCGACCAGGTGAGTGGGGGGACTGGGGGGGGGGAGGGAGGGGGGGGCATCTCCCTGAGGGAGATGCTTTGGGGTGCAGGTCCTGTGCCTGGTGGTGCGGCTGTTTCGGTTGTTTCAGTGCAACGGGCTCAGCAGCTTTCCTCTCCCCCCCTCAAAAAGAGCCCCTGCTGTTAGCTGGCATGAGGGGTCCCCGGGACCCCCCCCCCAAGGCAAAGAAAGAGCTTGTTGCCCCCACCACACCCCACTTCAGGCCATGCCCCGTGGCTAGGACACCCGCTCCGTGCACCTCCAGGATGCTCCCACCCAGCTGAGGGGCTGGGACGAGGGGGATGGGTGTGCTGCGACAGGGACCCCCATCAGGCAGTGATCAGCCTCCCCCATCTCCCCCCCTCCCTGTCCGCTTTCCCCTGAGGGCAGGAGCCCACCAATGGACCAGGCTGCCCATCCCAGAGAGCCCCGGCTCCCGGTTCCACCGCGGTGAGCAGGGGCACCAGCACCTCCACCCCAGTTAGGGCTGCCTCCACCCAGGGGGATTCTTTTGCAATTCATCTGTGTAATGAGTTCTGCCTCCCCTCAGCCAGCAGAAGCTGAGAGGGGTGAGCCACTGTCTGCCGGGGGGAGAAGGGGCCATCATCACTGCAGTGCACCCCTAAGCATCCTGGGGGGGGGGGTGGGGGGGTGGGGGTGGGTTGGGGCCAATGCAGCCATGCTGGGGTGCTCTGGCTCTTACTGGGAGCCCGGTGATGCTGAGGGTGCGCGTGGGGGACACCTGCCCACCCAAAAGCCCCGCAGGGGGTTGGAGCGGCACCCACACCCACAAGGCAGTGACCTCCGTGTCCTTCCCCCCCCCCCCAATCTCCTCTCCCTGCCCCGGCCAGGACTGTGAAGGCTTCGAGAAATGCTGCACCAACGTGTGCGGGCTGCGGAGCTGCGTGGCCGCCCGCTTTGCCGACGGCAGCCTGCCGGCGCTGGCGCTGGCGCCGGCGGCCTCGTGCGAGAGCTTCGTGTGCGCCCAGCAGGGCTCCGACTGCGACATCTGGGACGGGCAGCCCGTCTGCAAGTGCAAGGACCGCTGCGAGAAGGAGCCCAACTTCACCTGCGCCTCCGACGGCCTCACCTACTACAACAAGTGCTACATGGACGCCGAGGCGTGCCTGCGCGGCACCCGCCTCACCACCGTCCCCTGCAAGCACATCTTCACCTGGCCCGACACCAGCCCCGTGCCCCAGGAGACGACGGCACGTCCCACGCCGGGAGCCGGCCCCGAGGTGCCGGTGCCCCCCGCCCTCTACAGCAACCCCTTCCACCAGTCGGTACGCGCCGGCGGCACCGTCAGCTTCCGCTGCGACGTCAGCGGGCGCCCGCGGCCGGACATCACCTGGGAGAAGCAGAGCGAGCGGGAGGAGAACTTCATCATGCGGCCGGACCAGATGTACGGCAATGTGGTGGTCACCAACATCGGCCAGCTGGTCATCTACAACGCCCGCCACGAGGACGCCGGCATCTACACCTGCACGGCCAGGAACGCCGCCGGGCTGCTGCGCGCCGACTTCCCGCTGTCGGTGGTCAGGCGGGAGCCAGGGGGCACCCCACGGGCCGGCAGCCCCCAGCCCTTCCCCAGCGCCGAGTGCCTGAAGGAGCCAGACCGGCGGCGCTGCGAGGCCCTGGAGGTGCGCTGGCACTTCGATGCCAAGCAGGGCTCCTGCCTCACCTTCCGCTACGGGGGCTGCGGGGCCAACAGGAACCACTTTGAGACCTACGAGGAGTGCCGGGCTGCCTGCTTGGGCAGCGCCCGCCCCACCTGCCTGCTGCCCATGGTGCAGGGTCCCTGCCAGAACTGGGAGCCCCGCTGGGCGTACAACCACCTCCTGAAGCAGTGCCACTCCTTCGTCTACGGCGGCTGCGAGGGCAACACCAACAACTTCGAGAGCAAGGAGACCTGCGAGGACGTCTGCCCCTTCCCCAAGAGCCTGCAGTGCAAGGCTTGCCGCCTCAAGAGCAAGATGGTGCTGAGCCTCTGCCGCAGCGACTTCGCCATCGTGGGCCGGCTGATGGAGATTGTGGAGGACCAGGACTCCGGCATCGCCCGCTTCGCCCTCGAGGACGTCCTCAAGGACGAGAAGATGGGCCTCAAGTTCTTCAACATCAAATACCTGGAGGTGACCTTGACCGACATGGACTGGAGCTGCCCCTGCCCCAACATGACGGCGGAGGACGGGCCGCTCATCATCATGGGCGAGGTGCACGACGGCATGGCCACGCTGGACCCCAGCAGCTACGTCCGGGCGGCCAACGACAAGCGGGTGAAGAAGATCTACGAGCTGATGGAGAAGAAAACCTGCGACCTCCTGAACCGCTTCCAGGACTAGGCTGGGACGTGCCGATGTGTGTGTGTGGGGGGGCCCGCAGACCCACCTTGGGGGGGGGTGGGAGAGGGGCAGCCTGGGGGAGCCCCTGCACCAGTGCTTATATCTAGGGATTCCTGCTGTCGTGTAGTTCCTCCTCAACCCCACACTGAGCCCCAGCCCAGCTCCCACCTCCCCTGTAATTTATCTGCCACGTGCCCCCCCACCCGTTTATCTCCCCAGCCCAGCTAGCAGCAATAAAGGACTGGGTTGGGTTGTGGAGGGGTGGGAGAACTGCCAAGAGCCCCCCACCCATAAAAACCTTGCCACTGCACCGAACCCTCCGGGCGCAGTGTAGCACCCTCGGGTGCTCCCGGTGCAGGATCTGACCCCCCCATTGGCGCCGCGGGGGGGGGATTGGGGATGACTCCCCACGCAGCGTCAGTGCTGAAAGCATCAGAGAGCTGCTGGGAGTGGGGGGACAGAGCCCTGGAGTTTATTGAGGGGGAGCAGCAGCACAGTCCGGGGAGGGGAATGGGGTCAGGTCCCCGTGCCATCAGCACAGTGTGCTCCAGGGAATCTGGCACCGAGCAAGAAGTCTCCCCCGTGCCTGGGGGTGCTGTTCCATGCCCCCCCCACCCCCTTGCCCCGTGCCTATGCCCCCCGTGGCAGCTGCGGTGGCTTCTCTGGGCCAGGCAGGGAGCCCCGGAGGGGCTGGGGGAGACGGACCCTCCCCAGCCCAGCAGCCAAGCCCTGCCCCGGCTGGGGGGAGTGGGGCACCGTCCCAGCACTGCCGTCCCCAGCTGGCACCGGTGAGGGGACACTGTGACCCACTGAGGAGACATCAATGGGGGGGGGGGGGGGGCTGCCATGCTGGGAGGTGCCGCCGGGGCAGATTACTGCTTCCGGAAGATGAGACTCTTGTTGTTGGCTGGCATGTCCACCTGGAAGCACAGAGCCAGGGGTCGAGGGGGTCCCCACTGGTGAGAGGGGCCATCCCCACCCCCCCCCAGACCCCAGCACCTACCATCCTCTCCAGGCGCAGCCCGTTGGCCTCGGCCAGCTGCCGCAGCAGCGCCGTGTCCCGAAGGCCCCAGGCGGGATTGCTGCCGGGGTGGGGGGGGGAGTGGGTCAGACGGACAGACAGACATCCCTGCCCTGTGCTCCCCGAAGCATCCCCATCTCCTGAGGGTGCCCCCAGGTTGGAGGTGGCGGGGGAGGGGAAGGGGCTGCTGCTTTAGGTCTTATCTTGAAGGACCAGGCTGGGAGGGAGCTCCCTGTGGCTGCAGGCAGGACAGGCAGCCCTGGGCCCCCCCAGCCCCCCCTTACCTCTGCCTCAGGCTGCGGTCAAAGTCCACGTTGCTCTGGGGGCTGATCCGGCCATCCACGGCGTAGGGCTGCCAGGACATGAAGCTGGAGCTGCAGGCACAAGCCATCGTGTGTGTGTCCCCCCACCCCTCCCCGAGCCCCCCCCACCCCCAGACCACAGGCTGCTGTCCCGACCACACAGAGAAGTCAAACGAGATGGGACACGGCCCCCGAGAGAGACCACGGGACCCGTCACCCACCGCGGGCCCTCCTGGACCCTCCCCAGGGCAGGATCCCTCTGTCCTGGGAGCGAACAAGCCAAAGCCCCCCCCGGCCATGTGCCCTCAAAAGCTGAGACCCCCCAAACCCAAGCCCCACCCCACTTTCCCAACCCCTCCCCACACCCATGCCTGGAGCTGCCCTCCCATCTGCGCTGCCCCCCCCCCCTAAAACCCCCCCCCCAGCATCCTCAGGGACACCCCGTGCCCGGCAGGATGCTCCCGCACCAAGACGGGTGCTCAGCCGAGCAGCACCCACCCCGTAGGTGAAGAGCACACCTCCCGGCTTCAGCAGCACCCCAGCACCCTTGAAGAGGCCCTGGGAAAAGAGAGAGGTGGGGACCACGTCAGGGGGCTGGGGACACCCCCAAGGAGCACCCCCCCCGGCTTGGCCCCGGGACCCCCAGACCAGGCTCCAGCCCTGCCCCGCTCACCTCGGTGCACCGCAGCTCCGCAATGTGCATCATGTTGATGCTGACGAGGAGGTCGAGGGTGGCGGGTTGGGTGCCCCCCCACGCCTCCCAGCCCTGCGAGACGTCCAGCAGGATGGGGGGCAGCACGTTGGGCACCCGCATGGCCTCCGCGTAGGCGGCGATGCTGTGGGCACCAAACCCCACGTCAAACCCAGCCGGGGCATCTCCTGCCTGGCCCCCCCGGCATCGCCCCCCCCCGCATCCCCCCCCACCACCACCAGCACCTGCAGCAGGCAGACCTGCAACCTGTCTGCACTGGCTGCCAGCCACATCTTCCAGGTGGAGGCTCTGATGTCTAATAATAAGGTTGTGCTTGTAACACAGCCCGGGTTGGGGCGAGGGGGGGCGGGCGGGCTCCGCGCAGTGCGGGGGGTCTGGTATCACCGAGCTCTTTGCTTTACAACAGGCAGCTGGAGAACCGGCAGCAGCTGGTCAACCAGCGGCACGAGGACTGAGGGACCCCAGTGCCTTAAAAAAAAAAAAAAAAAAAATCCCAATTTGCCATTGCCTCTCAACAGAGCAGCCAGAGCATGCTGCCCACCCAGCTGCCTGCACGCAGGCTGCCTGCACCCATACACCCACCCTGCCTGCAGCACTGCCAGCACCCACGTGCTCAGGCTGCATGTACCCCCACCCTGGGGGTGCCTGCAGCACTGCCAGCACCCATACACCCACCCTCCCTGCAGTGCCGCCAGCACCCACGTGCTCATGCTGCCAGCACCCACGTGCTCATGCTGCCAGCACCCACGTGCTCATGCTGCCTGCACCCACGTGCTCAGGCTGCCTGCACCCATGCAGCCACCCTCCCTGCAGCACTGCCAGCACCCACGAGCTCAGGCTGCATGCACCCACATGCCCAGGACTGCCTGCAGCACTGCCAGCACCCGCGTGCTCAGGCTGCCTGCACCCACACCCCAGGGCTGCCAGCACCCATACACCCACCCTCCCTGCAGTGCCGCCAGCACCCACGTGCTCATGCTGCCAGCACCCACGTGCTCATGCTGCCTGCACCCATGCAGCCACCCTCCCTGTAGCACTGCCAGCACCCACGTGCTCAGGCTGCACGCACCCACACCCTGGGGTTGCCTGCAGCAGTGACAGCACCCATACACCCACCCTGCCTGCAGCGCTGCCTGCACCCACGTGCTCAGGCTGCCTGCACCCACACCCCAGGGCTGCCAGCACCCATACACCCACTCTCCCTGCAGCGCTGCCTGCACCCACATGCTCATGCTGCCAGCACCCACGTGCCCATGCTGCCTGCACCCACGTGCTCATGCTGCCAGCACCCACGTGCCCGGGCTGCCTGCACCCACGTGCTCATGCCATCAGCACCCACGTGCCTGGGCTGCCCGCGGCTCTGCCTGCAGCCCTGCGCCCAGGCTGCCCGCGCACCGCCGGTACCGCTGCACCAGTACCATGTGATTTTGGTTCGATTTACAGCCTTTTTGGTGCACTCACCAGCCAGCTCTCAGTTCCCAAGCAGGGAACCGCAGCCTCCTGGCCTTCCTGTTTTTAATCAGGGTGGCGTGCGCTGGGTGCCGCTGCTGGAGAGGTGATGGATGGGCAGGATGCCGGCTGCATGGACAGGTGCCAACTTCGGCACCTCTCCACCAGCTTTATTTTTTTTTTTTGGGGGGGGGGTGGGAATTCCTCCCTGCACTGCAGAGCTGGGATTTATTTTTGTTTCCCGAAGGGAAACCGAGAAGCCCAGCTCTTGCAACGCCTGGAATGGGCATTTGGCCACGGCCAGACCCACGCGCACTGACGCAGAGCAAATAAACACAGCCCGACATGGCTCACCGGGAGGGCGCGGTGCCGGGAGCGGGCTGCCAGCCACCCACCGCGCGGGTGGGAGCTGCCGGTGGCATCCCGGCGAGCTGGGCACCGGGCCCGGCATCACCACGCTGCGGGGAGCGGGAGGGCGGCCGCCACTCAGCAACGCGTGGACGGGCGCTTTGCAGGCGGGAATCGCTCCGTGGTGGGGTGGGCAGAGCAAGAGTTGAATATCGTGGCTTTTCTGGGAAAAATAAAGTACTGAGCTGGGGAGCCTGGGCTGTTTGGGAGTTGGATATTGGGGCGTTTCTGGAAAAAAATTAGCAAGCATTGACTTGGGGAGCCCGGGCTGTCCACGAGTCGAATATTGTGTTTTTCCTGGAAAAAATAAAGCATCAAGCAGGGGAGCCTGGGCTGTCTGAGAGTTCAGTGTTGGGTCTTTTCTGGAAAAAAAAATAAGCACCGTTTTGGGGAGCCTGGCTCATCCGAGAGTTGGATAGTGGGGTTTTCCTGCAAAAAAATAAAGCACCGAGCAGGGCTGCCGGGCAGTTGGATATTGGGTTTTTCCTGGCATAAAACACAGCACCGAGGTGGGGAGCTCGGGCACTCCGTGCGTGGGTCCGTGGGGAGGGGAGGGGGCTGCGGGCTGTGCACCCCGGGGACCCCCCCACGCCGCGACCCCCACTCACCTGCGCAGCGCCCGGGGGTCGATGTCGGAGGGCTGCCAGCGGGTCTGTGGCAGTGCCCGGGCGAAGTGTGCGGCGTGCAGCCCCGCGCCCGCCCCGACCTCCAGCACCCTCAGGACGCCGGGTCCCGCGTGGGTGCCGGACCCCGCGTATTCCCGTAGCACCTCCAGGATCGGGCCCTTGTTGCGCTCCGCCGCCGCCGGCGCGTGCATGGCTGGAGCGGGCGGTGTCCGTAGCGGGGGGACTACAACTCCCAGCCGCCCTCACGGAGACCCGCCCCCACGCACCGCGGGTGGAGCCTCCCACGGGGGTGTGAAAAAGGAAAAAAAAAAATAAAGAACAGCGGGCACTTTTGCGCCGCCCGGGAATCGAACCCGGGTCGCAAGAATGGGAATCTTGCATGATACCACTACACCAGCGGCGCGGCTGCGCACTGACCCCGCCCCGCGGGCACTCAGCCTTCCCACGCGTGACCGCGGGCCGGAGCGCCAAGGGCGGCGCGGGATGGCGGGTGCTACCGCTCTCCCGCCACGCGTGGGCCTTTCCCAACCTATTCCCGCCACACCCAGAAGGACGGGGTTAAGGCTCCGCGCGGACACCCCAGGAAAATCGGCATGCGTGGGAGCCGGAGGTGGGGGACAGCGGGGTTACCCCCGCGGCTTGAATAATCCGGTACACGGGACTCGCGGCAAAACCCGCCTCCACCCCTTCAGCGATCACTCCTGCTAAGGATGGGCGCCTGGAAGGGTCCAGGCAGAGCCCGAGGAGCCGCGGCTCAGGGCTTCCACGCGTGGAAAAGCGGTGCCTCTGCGCCCACGGGATAAGCCCTGGGCAGGCCTGGAGTGGGGGAACTGGGTGACAGAGCAGGTGACGAGGTGGTAGTGGGGTCCCTGGGGGTCACAGTTGCATTTAAGCGCAGTAACGAGGGCCGCGTCCTGTAGGGTTTGGGGGGAGTCACGGGGGGTTCCCCCCCCCCCCCCCCCGTGAGCCACCCATGGGTGCGTGGCACCCCGCAGGATCGGGCCCTGCTTTGCCCCCCACCCCAGCAGGGCTGTGCCACCACAGCCACGTGGCCAGTGGGCTGGAAAGGCCAAGGTCACCGTCGTGGGGTGGCTTCGCTGCCCTTGGAGCAAGGCTGGAGCATCCCCGAAGTCCCCCCGTGGGTCTGTCACACGGCCTGCCCCCAAACCCCTGTGTGCCACCCAGCCACGAGCCGGGGCTGCACCCCCCGCCACGCGGAGGAGACCCCGGCGCCCTTTCCCCGTTCCGAAGGTCCCCGCCACGGCCGGGACGCGACCGCCCACGCCGCCTTCCCACGAGGTTCCCGGGCGCTCGTGGGGGGCGTGGCTGGGGATCGCCAGGCTCATCGCGGCGCTGTCCCCACGGCGGTGGCACCTCAGCCCCTCCGCATCCCCCTTGCTGTCCCCCGCGTGGGTCCTACGTGTGCCCACGGCTCCAGCGTCCCCCCCCGCCTCCCGCTCGCCTCCTGTGCGCGTCCACGCCTGTGTCCCCAGCGTGCCCGTGCCCCCCCCCTCCCCGTGTCCCACGGGCCCCCTCTGCCCTCTCTCCTGCTTGACCCCTGCGTGTCCCCGTGCCCCCCGCCACGTCCCGCGTCCACCCTCAGCGTGCCCCGCCTGTGTCCCCGGCGTGTCCTCACGCGTGTGCGTTTCCCGTGTGCAACCCCGCCCCACAACGCGCCCCGCCTGCGTGTCCCCCACACACCCCAACGCCTCCAACACCTCCCACACGCGCCTCCATCCCACGCCTCTGTGTGCCTACTCCCCACCCACCCGCGCCGTCCCGTCCCGCGCGGGCCCTTTAAGGGCGGGGGCGTGTCGCGGCGCCGGCCCGGCCCGTTAAAGGGCCGGCGAGGGGCGCGCCCCGCACTCGGCGGGGGCGGCGGGGCCGGTGCCGGTGCGGGGCCGGTGCCGGTGCCGCAGGATGTACACGCTGACGCGCGGCCCCAGCAAGCTGGCCACGCAGCGCCGCACAGGTACCGGGGCCGGGGGGGGGGGGAGCGGCGTGGGGACCCCGGGGGCCGGGCTGGCGGCGGGGGGTGGGCACCGTCCCTCTCCACGCTGACACACCCCCCCCCCCCCCACGCCGCCGCCCGCAGGTCCCACGCAGCAGGCGGTGGAGAGCAGCAAACCGGGCGAGCTGCGGGGCCGGCTCCAGCCCGGCGCATGGCCCCCCCCCAGGTGAGCCCCGCGGCGGCGGCGGCGGCCGTGACCTTGGGGAAAGGTTACCGGGCCGCGCCGCCGGGGGAGGGGCGGCGGGCGGGGACGGGGACCGGGGGGGGGGGGAGCTGTCTCTCGGTGCCCGCATACCGCGACACGCCGGGGGGGGGGGGGGGGGGTTCGCAGTCCCCTTCCCACGGAGACGCGTGACGTGGGCCCTTCCCTCGGGGGAACCGGAGTTGCTGCCCCCCCCAACTCTGTCCCGGGGCAGTTCGGGATTTTGTGACCGGAGCCGCGGGCAAAGTGCAGGCAGCAGTGGGCTGGCAGGCGCGGGGGGTCCCGGGGCCTTGAGTTGTGCAACCCCCACGCCGCAAGCCCCGGGGGGAGGCCACCGGGTGCCCAAACCCCGCCGCGGACCCGTGTGGAACCGCCTGGTCCCCGGGGTTGGCGGGTCCCGGCCGCAGCCCTGCACCTCCCGCCGTGGCCCCCGGTGGGGTTTGGCGGCTGACCCTTGTCCCGAAAGGGGGGGCGGGAGCGATGGGGAAATAGTTTTTGGGTGAAACTCTCTGCTTCTAGCAGAAATAACCGGAGCTGTTGGGTAAACGTTGGAGGGGTTTTAAGCAGCTGGAGGGGTGATGGCTTCTCTTGAGGAGATGTTTTCTCAGCTGGGGTGCAAACCCCAGCCGGGCAGGGCTGTGGGGCACGCACCCCTCTGCATGTTCCCTCCGTCTTCAAGAAACGGATGAGAAAAGCCCCCCACCCCCCCCACCCCCCCTCCGGCTCCCTCCCCTCCTGGGACCTTTTGCTAATTAATTGACCTTGCTGCTACCACGCTTCCCCTCCTGCGGGCAGGTTGGGTGGGTTGCTGCCCTGCCTGCAGCAGGCCGGGATGCCCGCCCGGTGCCCCCCCAACCCTGCGTGGTTTGGGGGGGTGTTACCCTGCCCATGGAGCTGGCAGGGAAGGTGCAGGCAGGGGCTGCCTCTTCTGCGTCTCGTTTGCCCCGCAAATCATAACCCATCTGCGCTCCCAGGGCCCCTTAGACTTTGTCCTGTGAGAAACATGGCCGTTGCAGGCGTGTCCTGCCCCAAAGCTGGGCAGAAAAGCCAAAATACTGATGTTTTGCATTGAATGTGCCAGTAAGTCTCACCCCAAACCTTTCTTTTGACCTGCCTAGTTTTGCTGTTTCCAGGCCGGGGCTGGTTTTAGTGCCCTGCTCTCAGGAGGGGATCCCAGCTCCGAGGACATTCCCGGTTGGCAGAGAGTTTCATCCCAGTCCTGGGACATCTCAGGGATGTGCTGGGGGCCAGGGCTGCTCCAGCAAACCTGGGTGCTTGGTCTGAGGGGGGTGTCACCTCGGCACATCCTCCTGCTCAGTGCCTAACTGGATTTCACTTTCATTTTCCTGACATTTCAGCAATTTGGGTGGCAGACTTTTTATTTTAGGGACTGCGCTTTGTGCCAGGGCCGGAGGATAAGTGGGAAATGGGTAGCGTGTGTTCTTCCCCGGGGAGCTGCCCTTGCTTGTACCCTTCCCTGCAGGGGAGCCCTCTCTCCCAGGGGGGCTGGGTCCCTTTTGGTCCCCGCTCTTGGGGACAGGGCTGAGCAGGGCTGGCTGGCTGCGACTGTGCCCCTGGCATCTCTGGGGCTGTGGGTGAGCGTTCACGCCACAGAACAACCCAGGAGCGGCTGGACAGCCCCTGTACTCGCTCCAAACGGTGGCGGGAAGAGCTGCCTGCCCCCCTCACCCCTGCTTTGCTTCCCTTGACAGCCCAGCCCAGAAACTCGTCTTCAACAGAGTGAACGGCAAGAGGCCACAGGTGCTGCCGCAGCAGGTCTCGGCCCCTGAGGAATGCTACACGCTGGCCCACGAGGAGAACGTCCGCTTCATCTATGAAGGTGAGGGCAGAGGGTCCCCGAGGGCAGGCACCCACTTGCTGTTGCATCCCAGGGGTGCTGGAGCACGTGGGGTCCCTCCTGAGGCAGCCACATCACGCTGGGGACCTCGGGGGCAGGGATGGGATCCCCAGCCTGGGTACCTGCCCTCCTTCGCACCACCTCCTGCTCCTCTCCCGCAGCCCCCCCTGGGGCTGGGTAATCCCCAGCCCAAAACCATCCACTGCCTGTTCCCTCCCTCCTTCCCACCCCAGCCTGGCAGCAGGTAGAGCAGCAGCTGGACGGCAGCCGGAGTGGGGAGAGCGCCTGCGGCCCCGTGCAGTATGTAGAGAAAAACCCCAACCCTGGACTGAAAAGTAAGTGGGAAGCAGTCGTGGCGCTTGCATGGAGCGGGCTCAGGGGTGCAATGAGCTGGTGTGGGCTCAGCTAGGTGCCTGAGCAGGGCTGCGATGGGAGGAGGAGGATCCGAGTGCTGGATGTGCCAGAGGGCCTGGGTTGGGTCTGTCCTGCTGGTGCTCAGGTTGTGCCGGGGGGCAGCTGGCCCCTGGAACTGCGATGGGGATGTCCCACCGTGCCCCATCAGAGGAGCCCAAGCAAGTGGGATGCCCCCTTGATGACTTTTCTGGAAATCATGCCTTCTCCAGCCACCGAGGTGGGTTCAGCATCGTGCTGGAGAGGAGCCCCCGGGTCCTGCTGTGGGGACCTGCCTCTCCTGCGGCCAAGCAGGACCCAGCCGGAGCGCAGCGAGAACAGGAGCAGTGTGCTTCTCCGATAGCAGCTGGAGCAAGGGCTGTGAGTGCAGCCTGGGGGCTCCTGCAGCAGCCGAGATGTCACCGAGAAGAGAAGGTCCCTGTAAAACCAGCCTGGGGATAAGCGCTTGGGTGTGAAGGAAATTTTGGGGTCTTATTTTCCTGGTGGCAGATGGTATGGCTTATGGGGGGGACACCTGGAGCTCTGCTTGCTCTCCAGCTCTTCTGCTACACGCTCTCTCCCTCCTCTCTCTTTCAGACTTTGTTCCCATCGACCTGGAGGAGTGGTGGGCACAGCAATTTCTGGCCAAAATCGAAAACTGCTCATAAAAGGGAAGAAAGGTTTGGGTTTGGTTTTGTTTTTTTAAGAGGAAAGCAAGCTGAGAGCATCTGGTTGGAACCCAGAATCAGTGGCATTTTAGAACCACGTTTTAAAAAGATGACCGAAATCAAGTGACCCGTGCTGCCAGCCCAGCGAGGGCAGCGGGACCGGACCACAGCCATGCGCCCCCTCCCTGCGCCCAGCCCGGAGGAGCAGCGTGCGGCCCCAGCCAGGATTCCTTAAGTGCCAGTTTTTTGGACCGCTGTACCTCCTGCAACCCCCCCCAGCTCCCAGGGACACTGCAGTGCTGTGCTGGGGGACGAGGGAGCGGATCCCCCACCACGGCGGTAGCCACGGGGAGGACAGCAGGGTGCTGTAGCAGGACCGCCAGACAATAAAGTGCTGAAACTGCCAGTGGAGAGACATTTGCAGGATGGGGAGGATGTGTCTGCCGGAGGTGGTGAAGTGGCTGGGGTGCCACATCGTGCCCTGGGCTGGTGTGGAGCAGGGCATGCCCGTGCAGGGGCTGAGTCCTGGCTGAGCGGGTGCCACAGTGCTCTGGAGGCAAAGCACTTGGAGCATTTCCCTGTCTTCCTTGGAGCTGCATCCTTGCCCCAGTGCTGCCTCATCTCCCTGGGCTCAGCCAGGGGCTGGTGCTACCTTGGGTGGATGTTGGGCTGGGGCAGGGGGCTGGATGGGCATGGGGCTGAGCACCTTGGCTGTGGGTCAGAGCCAAGCTGCGGGAATGAGGTGCCAGGGGCCAGCCCCAGCACTGCCACGGAGAGGCCCTTGACATTGCTCTGACAAAAGCCCTTTTGAGCTCCAAGCTCAAGGTCTCCCCTTGCCTGTGGCTCTTGGGGTGCAGTGATGGGCTGAGAGGGTGTGTTGTAGCTGCCTGCTAGCGGAAGGGATGGGGAGCCTCACCCCTGAGGCACACACAACCCTTGAGCTTTTCCAGGCTGGACTGGGTCCTTCCAGGTCAGGTTTTGGAGGACACCTCCTCCTGCCCCCATCTGCTCTGCTGTAAGGCAGAGCAGGAGGCCAGGACAGCCTGAACAGCCCAAGCCCACCAGGGCTGGAGCTCTGACTCTAAAGGAGGCCAGGAATCACCCACTGGGCAAAAAAAACCCCCATCCCACCTGGCCAGCACAGCCCGGGAGGCCAGAGCCTTGCCACCAGCAGTCGTGACCCGGCTGAGCCCAAGCAGCAGTGCCCAGCGGGGGAGCGATCCTGGCCCTGCAGCCTGCCCCCACCCCCCCCCCCCCCCAGGGGCACCTGGGCAAGGTGCTTGGAACTTGAACGGGAGCGAGCAGCGCCATGCACAGCCTGCAGCCTGGCCGCAGCAGGAGGGGAGGGTTGGCGCAGCCCTGTGTGACCACGAAACGCTGCTTTAAGACTTTCTTTGTTTGCCCCCGGCGGTGGTGGGCTGGTGCCAGGAGATGCTATCTATCTTTGCCCTTGCCTCCTCTACCACCAGCTCTGCCGTGCTGTTTGTGGGCACGGCAGGGGTTTTACACTGCCTCTGTGCCTCCCCACCCCGGGAGCAAGCCTCGAGGGGGGGCCACCAGCACCCCAATGGACATGTTTGGTGGGGGGGGAGTGTGTGGTCTTGGCTGTCCTGATTCTTGCTTCTGTACTTGGGGTGGTGCCAGCCTGTGGCACTTTGGCATCTTGCCCTCCTGCAAACCCCCCACTTTCCCATTCCTCCAGAGGCTCTGCTGCATCCTATCTCCCCTTCCAAAAAAACCCAGTTAATGAGAGCCCCAGCAATTTCCTGGTAGCTCCAGGCACCCTCCCACCAGCAAACATCCCCCCCCCTTTTCTTGCACAGGTGCTGCCCCCAGGAAGCTTGCTGCTGCTGGGTTTTTTCTCACTGCACGGTGGCCCTGGCAGTAGCTGGCTCTGCTGCTGGCAGGGATGCTCCCAGGGAGCAAACCCTCCTTGCCAGCAGCTCTGAAGGGCTCTGAGGTGTTCCAGGGATGCCATTCACCTGCTGGCTGCTTACTAACAAAACCACACGTCGTTAAGATCCAGGGAAATTCTTAGTAACATGATGCACCATCGTTTTGAACAACAACATTAGGCAAAGGGCAGAAATGGAACAGGAAAGAATGAGTCAGTCACAGGAACAAAACAAAAACCCAACCCAAAAATATAACCCAACCCCTGACAATGCAATCACTAGAAGGGAATCAGCACCCCTCGCCATAAATATTAATTCATTTAGTTATGTGCAATTGTGTGTATTACTATAGTGCAAATAGCTCTGCATTGATCGCGGAGCAGCCGGCCCAACGGGGACTGCCCCCAGGTGACACAGGGACTAGTTAAGGACAGACAAGAATCAACACGGATTTAAAACAAACAAACAAACAAACAAAAAAGCAACCCAACCACTGGGAACCAGCAAAAAGAAATCCCAGTTGTTGCCCCCGACGTGGCGCGAGCTGGGCAGCGCTGGTGCCTAACGCGCCGTGCCCAGCAGCATCCCCCACGGCCGGGCAAGGGCAGGCCAGTGCCTTCGCCCCCCGCCTGCTGCCAGAGCAGCCCGGCGTGGTGCGGAGGGGACGGGGACGGGGACGAGGGATGGACGCCCATGGGATGGGTGTGCTCTGGTGGGAGCTGCGCGGGGCGTACGGGGAGAGCAAAGCAGGGCAGGGGCGCAGGGAGAGCATCGCTGGCCCCCCCGACCGCCGGTCCCGCGGCTGCACGGCCCGCTGCGCAGCAGTCAAACCTTTCCAGGGATTCACTAGCGAGCCCGGCAGCGTCCCCCGTGGCACCTCTCACCCCTCGCTGCCTTCAGCCCGAGCGCCGGCGCTGCAGCTGGACCCGGCACACGCTGAACCGAGCACGGAGCAGTTCTCCATCAACCTAATCCGCCCTCCCAACAGCCGGCTCGGGACGGCCTTGCCTCCACCCCTGGGCAGGAGGGGACAAGCGTTTTCCAAGAGGTTAAAGGAGCCAGAGCCTCCCCCCGTGCCACGCAGGGGACACACAGGGGTGGGGGGCTCGCCTTGTCCCCTCCGGCTAGACACAAAGTGCTTCGAGGGGCAACCACAGCCCATCCTAATTAACCCAGCAAACGGTTTGGATCTAAGCTATCTGACAGCCTCCTGTTAAACCACGAGCAAACCACCTAACGATACACGTCAACATGCGGGCCAAGGCCATGAAGCAGCGTCCTGACGGGTGCGGGCAGTGGGCTGTGAAGAAGGGGGGCAGGCAGCATCCTGCTCCGCCAGCCCAATCCCCGGGACCCATTGCCACCCATCCAGGATTCCCCCTGCTCCTTGGGCTATTTTTTTTTTTTTTTTTGCTTTTTTTTTGCTTTTTTTTTTTTTTTTTTCTCTCTGTACAGATGGGAATGAAGGCTGGAGAGTGGAAGTGTCACACGCACACGCAGAGCCGTGCCGGCGCTGCGGTGGCACGCACTGCGCACACACCACTTGTGTTCCCGATACGACGCCATCCTCTCCCCTCTCCCCGCTGAAAAGTTTCTTACATTTATACATTGTTTAAGACACGCCGATATATAAATTACTGTCTCTATATATACTATGTATAGGCAGCAGGGCCAGTCCATGATGAAGGGCACCAGTGGGGGCTTCTGCTCATTTCCCTCTGTCCTCTGTGTAGTGCTGGAAGCGAGTGAAGCTCATGAAGACCTGCTCCAGGGATATCTGGCTCACCGAATAGTCTTCCAAGCGATACTTCTCTTTGGCTTTCTCCAAGGCCCCGAAGACCTGCAAGGGATGCACGGCCGTTACCGCAGGGCACCTCGGCTGCAGGAGAACCCCCGGGCCGCAGCTCTGAGAGCAGAGGAAGCTCTCTGCTCCGGGGAGACCTGGGGGAAGCGAAGCCTTCCCTGGCAGGAGGGCGGCGGGAAGCCAGGAGATGCATCTTTTTTTATCAGAGTACCTGACCCTATTTAAAAAGACATGTGTGTATATAAATTTTACATATATATATGTATATGATACATACATACATACTTCTGTACGTTTTTTGATATACATCCCCAGGCTGGGATCCCAGCCCGAGGTTTCTGCTCAATACATTATATATAAAATATATATACAATATATAAAAATTAAATAGTATTATATGCTACACATAACTATTTGTATATAGTATACAGACATATAAACCCCCCTCTCTATATACTGTGCATAAAAACTACCTGTATACTACATACATAGATATTTTGGTATACAATACATATAGTTATATACTATTTATTTATAACTATCTGCATACAATATAGTTATAGTATATATGCAGTATACATATATAGTGTGTATATATATATGGTACAGAACTATCTGTATACAGTATACCTAGATGTTTTTTTATATATATATATATAGTATATATATAGTATATATATATATATAGTGTATATATATAGTATATATATATATATAGTATATATATAGTGTGTATATATATATATATAGTATATACAGATAGTTCTCTACTATATATACATGTTTTTTTATAGGCATCCCCGGGCTGGGGTGCAGCAGGGTCTGTGGCTCGGGAAGGCCAGCACCCACAGCCCCGGGTGGGACAGCACCGGGCGCCGGGCCGTGCGACGCTTCCTCGGGCTGAGGGGCAGCAGCCGGGAGCGGAGGCACCGGTGGGTCCGTGCTGTGTCCCCCAGTGCCACGTTCCAGCAGGGAGATGGGGGGTGGGAAGGACACAACTACCAAAGATGCCCCTTCCAGCACCCACCCGCGCCTTCACGGAGTATTTTGAGATGTACAAACCGGCAAAACCAGCTCTTGCTCCCCAGGCAGACCCTGGTTTCCCTCTGGGGGGGCTGCAGTCGCAGCCAGCCAGGCCGGGGTGGGACGGAGCGGTCCCGGCTCAGCACGCACCGCCTGTCCCAGGTGCTCGCACACCGACCCCGCGCATGCAGGTTTGGACCAGGACGTGGGAAAGGGTCAGGGAGAAAAAAAATCCACTTTTTAATTAGCTTGTTTTTTTCTAAATCACCGTGATTGTGGGCGGAGAGTGGCTCTGGAAGAAAAGGATGAGCTGAGTGTGAAAGCAAAGCATCAAGAGCACGCGAAGGGGCAGGGATAGGGGCTGCCTCTCCAGCCTCCTCCCGCAAACGGTGCGACGTGCTCCAGCACCCCCTTACCTGTGCCCAGCTGAGGTTCTTGTTGGTCAAGTGATAATGTACCATGCCCTGGTGCTCATGTTTCAGAACACTGCCTGGGAGAGACAGAGCAAAGAGAGGCTCAGAGTTAGGAAGCTTGCTGAAGCTCACAAGCAGCATCCTGCCCTCCTCTGGAAGGCAACCGCTCCAGCAGCTCACGGTACCTGGGAAAGTCTTCTCCACGAAGGCTTTGAAGGCCTGCAGCTCTCCCTCCTCCTCACTCCGCGTCTTGGCCAGCAAGGTGTAGCCACTGCCAAACTTACTTTTCAGGTGCTGGGGGCTGCCCAGGCATTTGAACTGCCCGTTCACCATAATGGCCAGCCGCGTGCACAGGGCCTCGCACTCCTCCATGCTGCAGGACAGAAGAAGACTTGTTCAGCAGGGCAGGAGCACCGAGGTGGAACAGCAGAAGCTTCTGGGAAGGAGCTGGAGGTGGATTCCTTCCTCTCTGAGCTTTCGGAGCGGGGGGATTTGGGTAAAACCAGCCACTGCTGGCCGCAGGCAGTGCCCAACCACAAAGCTCTGGAGGTGGGTTCCACCCCTTGGACCCCACCACGCTCCTGGTCGCTCCCCGATCTCTCCTGCCAAGCCCTGCCCAGACAAGTGTCACCTGTGGGAGGTGAAGATGATGGATTTGCCACACTCCCGCGTCCGTGTCACTGCATCCCAGAGCAAACGCCGGGCCACGGGGTCCATGCCAGTGGAGGGCTCATCCAGGAAGATCACAGGGGGACCACCGATGAGGGCAATGCCAGCGCTCAGCTTCCGCTTGTTACCACCACTGCAGGAGGGGATGGGAACGAGGAGAGAGACCCGGTATGAGCAAAGCGAGAGCCCCACGGGGCAAGGGGCAGAGCACATGGGGTGTCTCCACGTTTCCTCTCACCTGTAGGTCCTCACGAGCTTGTCGGCGTGGGGCTCCAGAAGCAGCCCTCTCAGCATGTTCTCCACGCAGCTGCCGATGTAGCGCTCGGGGATGCCCCGCAGCCGGGCGTACATGCTCAGGGTCTCGCGGCCTGTCATGTGGTCCAGGAGGGCATCAAACTGCGGGCAGTAGCCGATCCGCTGCTGGACCTTGGGGGCACGAGGAACCCGGCGGGGATTAGCTCACAGGCAGGTCTCCGCCAGGTCCAAGCCAGAAGGTGCCTTGGCAGCCGCGGGGATTCGCTGCACCTCTGCGGGGTTTTTGCTCAGAGCACTGGGGACTGAGCTGCTGCTCTGAAACCGCGGGTGAAGTAAGAGGGAAATTCCCCCGTGGGTGGAGCAGCTGGCCTGGCGGGGATGGGCGCAGGCAGCGCTCCTCGGGGCGGCACCCGCGTGGTCTCACGCTGCGTTTCCCAAGCTGGTTCCTCACTGTGAGGGGCCATTTCAGGTGGCCCAGGCTCTCAGGAGAAGGAAAGCACTGGAGGGTCTGTACCTTTCCCATATCCTGGTCTCCTCTGGAGACAGAAGCCCAACAGAAGGCAGAGTGCCAGGGGAGGAAGCAATCAGGGCCGACCCTCCTCACGTGCTCCTTGCCTGACATTGTCTGGGGTCGACAGCGGTAGAGGTATCCAGGGATTGAACTGAAAGCCTGACCCCTGCTCATCTCCTGCTCTTCCAAAGGATATGGGCAAACCCCAGCAAGGAGACCTCTAGCAGGGGGGGTCTGGAAAGGTTTGACCCGCTTCTTTTTAGAGAAATTGTCATCTGACTGTGATCACTACCTCACATTTTTCACATTTCCAACTATGGAACTAAACCCTTTGATGAAGGGTTTGCCACCCTCTTGAGGTCTGCCTTCCAATGTGTTTTGCATCTAGCATCCCAGTGGAGAGGGGACTGTTTCCATGTGGCCAGATAACGGTGATCTGGGCCAGACAAGGACACAATGTCCCTGGCAACTGCACCCGTGTCCTCCTCAGAGGCACTTGCAAGGTGGTACAGCCCAGCCCAGCCCAGCCACAGGACTCTTTGTAACGGCACCCTCCACCCCGCAGCCCTCAGTACCTTTTTGATGTTGGCCAGAATGCTGTGGCCATCCACGAAGGCATCCCCCGACGTGATGCTCTCGTCACCAGTCAGCATCTTGAAGGTGGTGGTTTTGCCCGCTCCGTTGAAGCCAAGCAGGCCAAAGCATTCCCCTTTGCTGACGGCCAAGGAGATCCTGTCCACCGCCAGCAGGGACTCCCGGCTGTCGTAGACCTGGTGGACCCACACACAAGCCATGCCAGTCACTGCCCGGCGGCACAGCAAGGCGAGCGGTGGCCTTCCCAGCCCCGTCAGGACCACGGCTCGGCTGGCAGCAGGATGCTCAGGAAGGGCCACGCTGTCCTCACCTTGGTGAGCTCCTTGATGACCAGAGGGCTACTGAGCGATGACAGCAGTTCTGGTGGAGACTCCAAAACCTTCTTCCTCTCATCTGCCACGTCTCGATCCTCTGGCAGCACAGACACCCTGTTCAGCAGTGCCACCTAAACAGGGGGGAGAAAAAAAAAAAACCACTCTTTGCCACCTGGCTGCTGTGGGACAAACGGTTCCTCCAGTGTCCCCAGCCCAGGCAGGATCCATCCCTTTTGATCTGCCACTGCTGGGGACACCTCACTCCTTTTGCCAACCCATACACTCAACAGAATCTGCCCCTCCAAGCAACCTGCTCCAGGGGTATTCCCTGAGAAGATGATTTAGGTGAGGAGGGCCTGTCTCCAGCTCGCAGGGACTCCTAGGCTTGGTTTGGAGGGCACCTTACTTCTCCCTCCAACACGCTTCAGCTCACCCATTTCCGCCGCCTGCAGATGCCACAGACCAAAGTTCTGAGCCTCCAGAGAAGGTTTGTCTCAATGAGGAAAAGGAGGAAGAGGAAGGAGAAACCCTGGATGGTCAAGGAGGTCAGGTATCGTCCGATCCCAGGCGTCTCCCAAGAAAAGTAGTTCATCTGATAACTGATATCTGAGCAGGGATGGAACAAAATCAAGACTTGGATTAATTCACACACCGGAGAGGGCCAGATAAGCTCCAGAGAAAGCTGTGAGCCCAAAGCTTTGCCAGCCTCATCTCCAGCCCTGCCCACACTGGGCTCCCTGCCCACAGCTCTTTCCAACGCTCATCACTATCCCAGCCCACACTGGGCTCCCTGCCCACAGCTCTTTCCAATGCTTCCCACAAGAGGATTCTGGTCTGGAGGGGATCTGGCAGAAGATGCCCAGGGGAGGCATGCAAAGGCGATCAAGTCACTCTTGGGACTGGGATTTCTTGTGTATGAAACTTGCCCTAGCCCACATTTTCCTCCAAATCAATACTAAGGAAAAGATTCCCCACAATTGGATCACCTACACTGCCCAGTTTTTGCTTTAAAATGGTACCTGGAGCTACTGCCCAGGCTGGGCTAGAGGCCCCACGGTACTGCTCAGCACCACCACCCACCCCACAGAGACGCCCCAGTGGGATGGCCAGGATGGGGACCAACACAGAGACTCACTGAATGCCTTGCAGATGAAGATGGCTTCAACAGAGGAGGTACAAAACTGAATGAACTCGTAGTTTTGGTAGAAGTCACTGATGCATTGGCCCAAGCAGTAATTGGGTAAGATGAGAAAGACTTTATCCAGGGTTTTGGAGAGGTCCACCAAGCCCAGCTCTGAAAGAGGAGCACAGGAGGATCAACAGATTGGAGCCAGCCGGTTTTAGAGAAAGAGCCCGATACTTCCAAGTTCATAAGGAAAACCAACAAATTTTGTCACATTTAATGGGTGAGAATGGACTGTCATAGGGGTTTTTTTGCTAGTGTGGGACAGCTCTGGGACAAGAGTCCCCTTGGGGGGCTAGATCTTCTTGGTGGCAGCAGGGTGCAGTGCTGGGCAGGCACAGAGGGCAGCGACCCACCTGGGATGCTCATGATGGTGACCGCAAGGAAGGTGGCTGTGCCTGAGAGGATATTGAAGATGGTGAGACGGGTGTAGGCCGTGGCTGCCACCGAGAAGAAGAAACTGAGGAGGTACATGAGAGGGATGATGGCCCAGCCATAAAGGAGGAAGATCAGCATCACATCAACGAGGTGGCTGTCTTGGGTGAAGGCTTGTACATCAAAGGCTTGGAATATCACCTGGGGGACAGCAGCGTGAGGAGAATGCACGTTTGTCTTGACCACAAGCGATGTCTCCCTGTCCCGACAGCCCAGGCAGCAAGGTAACAGCAGCATCACACTGACCCCGATAACCCCTCACGGATGGTTCCTACCAGCAGCCCATGCCTGTCCGCAAGGGAAAAACCCTCTTTCTGCAGACTGGGATGCAGAAGGGCAGATCTGGGGAATTCCTCTCCATGCTCCCATGTCTTTGAGATTTTCTAGCGCCCACACCCAAGTGTTCAGGTGCCAGAGGCTGCAGTCAGCTGACCCAGCTGGTTGGCCATGGCCCAGCTCCCAGTAGGACCAAGGGACAGCCTTCTGGCTGGTCCTTTCTGTTAACTGACACAATGCCAGTGGCCTCATCCTTTTCCCTGCACCCACACACATCCCAGCTCTCCCACAGGAGCAGAGTCTCCCACAGAGGTCCCACCCAAGGGGGAGGACAGGAGGGTATTGTGGTGTCCGGGGTGACTCACCAGCATCAGAGCACAAGGGATGAGGAAGTTGATGATGTCCCAGAGCAGGGCGGAAAGCCAGAAGTTGACCACGTAGACGCCGCTGACAAACTGGACGTGCTTGGCTTTGATGGCCCGCTCGCTGACCAGCAGCAGAGCAAAGGTGCTGGCGAGCGAAGCCATGCCGTACAGCAAGTTGATGGCAATGGCGAACCCGGTCTGGCCTCTGTGGGGAGAGCAGTGGGGCAGGTTAGGACAGGGACAGCTCAACAAAGCAACGCTGAGGCTACGTTGTGGGACAGCGCACCCACACCGTGCTTCTTGTGGAGGCTACGCTCACCCAGCAAGCCAGCACGCAGAAGAAACACCCCACAATAAAAGCACACCTCAGTGAGATGAGCATCGCCCGTGCACAGCCCACCTAGCCCACCACAAACCTCCGCCCTGCCTTTGCGAGGTCCCACGCATGTCCCCTCTGGCGCAGGTGGGGTTCAGCGACCCTGGATGCAGGATTTGGTGAAGTGTACGGCCATACAGCCCTCTCTGCCCTGAGCACCCAAGGAAAACCAACCCCAACCAGCATCTACAGGGGAATACCCAACCAGAGACGTGTGCATGGGGTGACGTGGCTGTCAGGCTCAGGGAGGTAAGTCACCTACACAGCTTTGCTCTCCTGACCTCCTGAGTATAATCACAGCCATGTTTGGATCTGAGAAGCTCCAGCCTGGCTCCTCCACTGACGCCAGTACAACCAAGCCAATCTGCACCCGTGGAAATCACGAGCCCTAGCAGGAAAGCAAGGGACGTGCCATGAGACGTACTCCATGAGCTGGTCTTTGGCCTTCTCGGTGATGTTGCGGGGCTGAGGGTAGTTGGTGACTGTGATGGAGGCATTGGGGCCCGCCAGTACCCTGAAGACAGCGTTGTCAGCCAGCATAAGGGCCGTGGCCGGGGAGTGGTATGCCTGGTTGTTGAAGAGCGCGGTGACCACCGTGCGGTTCCCGGCTCCTTCGAAGGAGGCAGCTGCGATGTAGTGCTCGTTGAAGGCTCCCCCTTCCTTGGAGGCTCTTGAGATGAGGTACTCCTCCAGGCCACCTGCTAGACACCACGGCTGTTATGAGCGGGCTCCATCCCATGAAAGCTGACCTGGCGCCCAACTGGAAAAGACCCCGAGCAGCCCCAGCCCTGATGGCCCACCCCAGCCCCGATGATGGTCACAAACGCAGGGTTACGGAGAGCACAGCTCTGCCTGGGTGAGGAGGGGTCCTGCCAACTGAGGGACTCTCCCACGCGGGAGAGGGTACGAGGGGATACGTCAGCTACACTGCGGCTGGGACCTGAGCCACCCACACCGAGGGCCCTGGCAAGAGAAGCTCGTGGCTCCTGCGCACCCCGGCGGGCATTGCCTACTCTGCTGGTGCTCCGTGAAGCCTCACCCAGCACCTCCAGCGGCGACTGATGCTGGGCCTCCAGCAGCTCCACGTACTGCTCCGCCAACCTCTGCGACAGGCCCGAGGTGGCCGAGACACAGAAAGGCACGATGGTCTGGCCGTAGGGCTCCAGAGTCAGCCTCAGCAGGGAGGAGTCCCTGGGTCCCGGGAAGGTCTTGGCCACGATGAGGGCAAAGGCAGTGAAAATCAGAGGCACGAGGAACTGTGCTGCCACCATCTTCCAGTTGCGCCAGCTGTACATGGCTCGCTTCATGAACATGGCGTAGAACTGCTGGCAGCACAGGTAGAACTGGGAGGGGAGAAGAAGTCAGGTCAACACGAGCTCTGCCAGCTGCAGACATCACCCCACGCAGCTGATGGGGGGAACGACCCCAAAACCACCTCCTTGTCCTGCATGTAGCCTGCGAGCCCGCAGCAGAGCCTGCTCTCCGGCCAAGCCTGCAAAGGGATTAGCAGGGCAGCTGCTTAACTCCAGCACAGCAAGTCAGCCCATCAAACTCCACAGCTTCCCAACAGGATGCAGTCACTTTGGGATCTCAGGTGTTAAAAGCAGCTTTAGCCACGACCTTTACCTTCTTCCACCTCTCAGCATTTGAAGTTCACAAATAGGATTACTGCAACACAGCTGCCTGCCAAAGCAACCCAGCCCGGCCCCTGCAAGCACCTTCTTTGCTTTTTTAAACCCATAAATATCTTTCTCCTCTTCTGCCTTTGAGACATGCCCTTGAGAAGCGCAGGGAAATTTATCACGGGCGCATAGGCAGCAGGCCATGAAGGACTGCCAGGGACCTGAAACACAAGCCTAGCAAGGGAAGGAAGATAGTTTTTCTCATCTCCCTGCCGGAAATTCCAAGCGATGTAGCAACGGCAGGTGAAAACCACCTTGGATCACCTGGAACCCCTTCAAAAGCATCTCTGCAGACTCCAAGATTAACATGAAGGGTATGGCAGTGACCACCCCCCAACCACCCTAAAAATAATTTGCCCTAAAGATGCAGATTCCCATTTGATCTTCCAAACCACACACGAGACCAGCCATGGGGGAGGCTCCACCTGGTAACCCTGCTCCAAAAACCCCCTTCACATGCTCTCTCTCTCTCCCCATTCCTGCCACACTGACACCCCCAGCACTCACCCCGGTGTTGAGCTTGATGCTGGAGCAGTCCTCCGTAATGAGCGCCCCGCTGTCATCCGTCATGTCGGTCATGCCGCTCAGGCTGCTGGAGTCATCCATGGCCCAGTCATTGGAGCGTCTCTCGTGCTGGTACTGGAGAGCAGGTAGCTGGATGGCCTGGATGTCCATGCTGGAGTCCACAAGCTTCCCCACCCTGCGCCAGGAGGCAAACGGGGTGATGAAATACAGACCCAGACAGGTTCAAGCTGTTCTGAGCCGGGGAAGGCAAACCCAAGAAACAAAACCCAGCACGTGTCCTGGAGAGCTGTGCAGGACACAGCCATCACCAAAGCACGTGGCGACTGGTCAGCGCCAGGTGACACCCCACGGGGGGCCAGCCTCCCCCCTGCCTACCTCAGGAAGACCTCCTCCATGGTGGTGACCGAGGCCCCGTAGCTGGCAATGCCCAGCTCCTCCCTCTTCTGCTCCAGCTCCGTGAACAGGGCTTCAAACCTGAACAGAGACGTGAGGCGTTAGATGCCGACGCTCATGAGAGGGGACACTCAAAGGTTAAAACCCTCTGGGTTGGTCTTGCGGCTGTTTTGAGTCCTGCAGCCAGCTCTGGGGCTGCCGGCTGCACTAAGCACCCCAAGAACAGCTTTTGGGCTCCATCTTCTACTACCTTCCTCAGGCAGCCTCAGCTATCCCTATATTTGATTTCGGAGCCAAACCAGCCTGCCTCGTTTGTGCCACCCTCCACCCCACAGCCGTCACCAGCTATCAGCAACCAGTGCTGTCCCACCCAGCTGCTGCACAGGCGGTGACACGGTGGGCACGAGAGCGATGTGCCAGCAGACATGGGGGAGGATGGTGGTGAAAGGAGGAACCGAACCCAATTTTCTAAGGCCAGCGCTGATGCAGAGAGCAGCTCCCCTTTCCAGCGAGCCCGTGACGACAGTGTGTGCCCCAACATGTGCAGAGGAGGGGACCCACCCAGGGAGGCAAGCAGGGGACGATGCCATTACCTGTGCGTGCTCTCCTTCGGCAGGATGAAGGACAGCTCTGCCCCAGCATTGCTCTCCATGGTGGCGTTGGGCACGTACTGACAGATGAGGCGGGAGATCTCCCCCAGGTTACAGTAGGGCTCCTTCACCATCACCATGTGATATCCTGCCCCTGGGCAGAACCACAAGAGAAGAGAGAGGAGGGTAAATTGCAGCCCAGTCTGGCCCTGGGGTGCTGGAGCAGACAGAGATGCTAAGGCACCCGTAGAGCACTGACAGCTTTGCCTGGGCTACGGACACGATGCAGGAGCAAGCGTGGGGATGGGCCTCAGAAGAGGCAGAACAGCACAGCAGGGAGCAAGCAGCCATCAGACAAGGAGCAATGGGTCCCCTTCCCTACCCTATATCCCCCTCCTGCTTCTCCCTGGCAAGGAGAACACATCAAGCATGACCTGCCTGCTCCTGCCTTACCATATTTGCGCTTGAGGAAGAGTGAGGAGCCGCAGCACTGCAGCTCGCCCTTGGCCATGATAGCTATGCGGTCCCCCAGCAGGTCAGCCTCATCCATGAAGTGGGTGGTCAGCAGGATGGTGCGGTTGCTCCTCTGCTGCTGCAGGAGGTCCCACGTGGCCCTGCGAGAGGCTGGGTCCATCCCTGATGTCGGCTCATCCAGCATCACCACCTGCACACAGGAGATGGGTGCTGGTCAAAAAGGGCTGGGAGAGGCACAGCAGTGCAGGAGGGGGCAACCCCGGGGCCCGGAAGGAGCCTTGACCTTGCAACATGCATGCGATGATCTGGCTTGGGGGAGCAGCTACCAGGCAGCAGAGCTGTACTGCAGCCTCAGGGCACTCTCCTCAGAATCGCCCCACTTTGTGGGGGTGCTCCTACCACCTCCTCACTATCCCTGCATCTCCTACGAGCTTACCATGAGTGAGGAACAGCTTCAGAGCCACTAGAAGGACCTATGTTGGCCCCAGTGAGAAAGGTTTGAGGTAAGCCCCGCTGAAGATGCTTGCCTTGGAGTCTCCAATGAGGGCGATGCCAATGGAGAGCTTGCGCTTCATGCCACCGGAGAGCGCCTTGCTCAGAGAGCGGCGCTTGTCCTCCAGGTTGAGGATCCTCAGGATGTGGTTGATCTCCTCGGGGCACTTGGAGGGTGGGTACCCCTTCAGCTGCCAGACAGGGGGAAGGGAGGGTTAAGTGTGCCCACAGGGTAAGCAAATCTGGCAAAGATCCTTCCCACCACATTGGCCACCGGCTGCTAAACCCCACCACACTCCCTCCTCCACACCCGGGCAGGAAGGTGGGGAAGCACAGGGATGGACTCCTGCCTGACTCTGAGGGAGCTGGCACAGCTAGCGAGGGGCTTTCAGCAGAGCCATGCTGCCTGTGACCCTTCTCCACACCTCCATCAGCCAAGTAGGGAGCTTCTGCCTGCAGATGAGGTGGGAAGAGGAGGCAAGGGCTCTTCTGCTTATCATAGAACGGTTTGGGTTGAAAGGGACCTTTAAAGGTCATCTAATCCAACTCCCCTGCACTGAGCAGGGACATCTTCAACTAGATCAGGTTGCTCAGAGCCCCGTCCAACCTGGCCTGGAATGTTTCCAGAGATGGGGCATCTACCACCGCTCTGGGCAACCTGGGCCAGTGTCTCACCACCTTCCTTGTAAAAAGTGTCTTCTGTGTATCTAGTCTGAATCTACCCTCTTCTAGTTTAAAACCATTACGCTTTGTCCCATATTGCTATGGGCCCTACTAAAAAGTCCCTCCCCATCTTTCTTATAAGCCCCCTGTAAGTACTGAAAGGTCTCCCTGGAGCCTTCTCTTCTCCACGCTGAACAACGCCAACTCTCAGCCTGTGCTTACAGGAGAGGTGTTCCACCCTCCCTGATCATTTCTGTGACCCTCCTCTGGACCTGCCTGACAGATCTCACCAGGCTTTCCCAGCCTCAGGAAGCCACAGGGTGGCTGCAGGGTGCCCAACCCCAGGGCTGGCTCCCGGGGCCCCAGCAGCGCTCCTCCCCCCCCCCCGACACCACGCTCACCCCTGCATAGAAGCGGAGGTGCTCTTCCACCGTCATGTTGTCGAAGAGGACATCGTGCTGGGGACACAGGCCCAGGCTGCGGCGGATCAGGACCATGTCCTGGGAGATCTCGTAGCCGTTGATGTACGCCTGCCCGCCCGTCGGAGAGTGCAGACCTGGGAGGAGGAAGATGCAGCGGCCTCGGCTCAGGGCTGAGGATAACCCTGGGCAGCAAAGAGCCGGCGGAAAGGCGGGGATCCTGCCAAGCATTCCCCCCCACACACACCGTGGCTTTCTGGCAGAAGTCAGAGCAAGGCAGTTTCTTGCTCGAGCTGGGGCACAGCAGCTCTCTGCGCCCTCCCGCCCGCAGGGTGGGCTGCATGGCATCCGCAGGCAGGAGGTGGGCCTGGCAGCGCTGCCAGAGCGGGCAGGCGAGGAGGGAAGCGGGCAGGCCAGCCTGGCCCTTGGCCTGGCAGAGGTCTAGGCAAGGCCAGGGCAGGCCTCCAGGGAAGGTCCCGTGAGCAGCCTGGGCGGGCAGGAGCTGACAGGGACGGAGGGACCAAAGGTCACCATGGCCACCATGTCAAAACAGGCTGCCCGGAGCTCAGCACTTCAAGAACGATGAAGACCAGCTCTTGGCCCACGCCCTCTCTGCCTTACCATGACAAAGCCTACAGAGACCCATCCTGCAGCAGGTCCTTTCCCTTCTCAGGGCTCTCCGACACAAAGACTGGCTGTCATTTCCCCCCTCAGCTGATCCCACTCTCAGAGAGGGCTGAGCATGGACCCCCACCCTCCCTCCCTCCCTCCCTCCCTCCCTCCCTCCCTCCCTCCCTCCCTCCCTCCCCCCAGGCAGTGATGTGCCTCTCACTACGCCAGCATTCCTGGCCAACAGCTCAGTGAACCAAAGCTGCTCCAGGGAAGAGCAAAAGCCCCTTCCCAACCTCAGAGATGAGGTTCAGCTCCTCTCGGCGAGTCAAGCCACCAGCCCTTTCCCTGCCCCATGCCAGCCCCGCAGCAGGATGCGGCTCTTACCTGTGAGCATGGACAGAGTGGTGGTCTTCCCAGCACCATTGTGTCCCAACAGAACCGTAATCTGCCCTTCGTACATGTTCACTGTTAAGTCCTTGACTGCCTCTTTCGTCTTGTTTCCCACTTTGAAGACCTGCAGAGATTACATTAGCGAGTTGATGCTGCGCTCGAGGCAAGCGCTCTCAGATCTGCCTCCTCCGCTGCGCCCGGCAGACACAACCCGTGATGCTCACACGCTGTTGGCATTAGACAACCGGTTTAATTCAGGTTAAATTCAGATGTCAACAGGTTAAATACAGATGCCACCGCGCTTGTAAGTACCTAACACTTCAGCCCACAACAAAATGCAGCCAGCTCTGGGGGACAGCCTTACCTGCCTTCCAGCAGCCAAGCAACACAGCCCTAGGCAAAGAGGGCAGTGAAATTATAAGGAAGCTGCCTGCAGGCAGCAGTTTTTACAAAAACAACATTATGATGTGTTTGTGTTGTGCTGGGCAGTTGGTACCTTGGAAAGGTGCTTTATTTTGATTCCTGACACGAGGTCGGCAGGTTCCTCTTCTATGTACTGGCTCTTCAGAGCCTTCTCGGGGTCCTCCTCCTCCTCCTTTTCTTTTCCCACGACGGTCCTGGGGCGCCCACACCAGTATGAGGGCTGATGGAAGAAGACAGAGAGAGAAACTCAGGCACAGGCAGAGACCATCTCTTCCCAAAGCCTCGGCCACCCTCCTCCTCCCATGCAGATGCCTCCCAGGGATCTCCAAGACCACTCTCCTTGGCCTGGGAATTGCCAACCAGCACATACACCTTTGGCAGGCAGGTCAGACAGAGGATGCAACTGCTCCTCCTGCTCTGCTGCCTTCCCCTCATTCTCCCTTCCAGCAGGATTGCCTGTGATTACACAGGCAGCTTTTCCCCACCTTCATTCCCATGGAAAAGGTCAGTACTTTGATGAGAAGCAAAACTGCTCAGGCAGAAGCACCCTGCCCAGAAGAGCTCGTGCAATGAGTGATCACTGCCCTCCAAGAGCCTTGACATACACTAAATACAAAAAGCCCAAGGTCTAGCTGCTGCAATTACAGCCTTTTTTTGACAAGGCTCTTTAAGAATGAAAAGAAGCATTCAGGACCTTAAATCCCTGCGGAAATAACAACTCAACAACTCCTGGATGCAAAATCAGCACCCTGCTGTGACTTTTGGCAGACAGCTGTATCTCTGCTACTCTGGTCTAGCTGATGAGGGAGTAAAGAGGGTGCTGGAGTGAAACCATGCTGGGATAACGAATTTAGAGCGGAGGAGGAATAACCTCCTGATCAAACAAGGGATACATCCAGAGGATCAGAACTGATTGCGTCGCTGTGGCTTGACGAATTCTCAGCAGCCAGCTGAGCTGCAGTAACCACCGCAGCTACAGCCGCTGAAGATGATGCCAAGCATTTGACTTGGCAGAGCGAGGGCAGCTCGGCTGACAGGGTGACAGTCGTCACCCACCCCCCCGGCACCAGCACGTGGGAGCTGGCAGCGGGACGCAGATCGCCCCGGTCCACCCAGATGGCAGCGCTCGAGGAGTTTCAAATGACTGGATCTGGTTGCTCGCACCTGGGGCTTCTCTCCAATGCCTTTGCTTAAGCACGGAGATACTGAACACTCTGCACACCAAGTGTTGGGACAAAGATTTAAAGCCAGAAAGCGTTTTGTATTCCGTAAAAAAATACAGCTGCGTCAGCCTTCACCGAGGACATGCGGCAGACCCCTTGATTTTGGAGGCCGGGTGGTACGTTAGTCCAGCTCACTGCACAGCACAGAAGCGATGCTGGAAGGGGTGCGTAAGCAGTGCTCACCGTCAAGAAGAAGTACCACGGCTGAGGCACGCCGTACTCCCCTGGAAAGACGGCCTCCACGTACCAGGCCACCACGCCGTAGAGTGCCGAGTCCAGGAGCAGCATCCCCAGCACTTGGGCTAAGGTGAAGTTGTCATCCACGCTGACAGGCTTCATCAGGTCCCTCCACTGAATCCCAGTGCCTGCAACACACACGGGGCACTGCCCACCTCCGCATCCCCAGAAGGACAAAGTGTTCTCCGAGACTGTCGGATAGCATCCCCTGTCCTCATCCACTGCTCGGTAAGGAGCAGCACGTGCATGGCTCTACAATCCCTTCTACTGACAGGCAGCAGAAAGCGCGCTGACATCTCGAGGCACCCCACCCCACCATGCTTCTTTCATCACGTTCTCTGCAGCTGCTCGGGGAAGAAGCAATCTCTTCTCCAGCCACTGCCACCAAGGCCATCACTTTGCAAAAGCATGGCCTCTGCTGGAACCAACAGCAAATTCTTAATAGCGTAGAAATTAAAGATATATATTGGGAAGGAGGAAATGCAATGGATTCCCATCTATTAGAACAGAATTTTTTTGGTAATTGAAGCGATGATGGCATTTTGCACAGCCCAGACCGCCAGGGGCATGGGTTTGGAGGGGCAGAGCCCCACTGCTGATACAACCTGTGGGAGCGATCAGCAATTAGCCCTCCAGCTCTCGTTAGCAGCAGGGAAGTGCTTCTCCCTGACTTCTTTCCACCCTTCATACCACATGCAAGCCAGTCCCGACCTGCCAAGAAAAAAGGCTGGCTCCTCTCCTGAGGGATGGGAGGCACTTGCTCACCTTTTCCTTCGAACATGCCTATAAGCTGTGCCCCCATGGCCATGGCGACGTTGGAGATGAGGCAGGATGCCAGCTTCTGGCTGTGGGACATCAGGTCGTAGCGGGGCGAGATGAAGAAGTAAGGGATGTAGGAGAAAAAGTAGAGGAAGCCACCAGCGGCAGCCGCCACATTTGCTGCCAGCACAGAGAAAAGCGGGAGAGAAAACATCAATAATATGGTGATGCCGCCGAATATTTCTCACCAGCTCTCCACCCAAGATGATTCAAGCCTTTTGTCCATAGTGTGGCTACAGGGGGGCTGTAGGATGTTCCCACGTGCCATGGAGCAGTGCTGGACCCCAGCCCTGGGGTGGGCAGCTGCAGAAGCACACTGCCCACCCCAGACTGGGGCCATCCCACCTTGGGGCCAAGACAGCCAGATGAGGCCCTGCCTCATGAGCTCGTCTGGTTTGGGAAGCAACAGTACACACACCCCTTCCCACGCACCATGGGGAAAAAGCAGCCAAAAAAGGGAAGAAAGGTGTCCCCCTCCACATGTCAAAGCAAGTTATCCAACACAGTGCCCGGTGCAACCTCACGTAACTCTGGAGCTGGTCCTGCTTTGAGCAGGATGGATGGATAACCTCCAGAGCTGCCTTCCAACCAAAATGAACCTAAGATTTTACAGCACAAGGCCCATAACGACCCTCCAGCCCCACTGGTCAGCAACGCAAGGAGGCACCTGGGGAGGGACTCACCTCTCGAGAAGAAGGTGCTCACCATGAAGTTGAAGGAGATAGAGGAGATGGAGAAGATGGCGAGGAAGGTGAACACCAGCGTGGGGTCGCTGTTGGTGAGCACCGCTCCCTGTTCGCTCACCTACCAAGAAAATCAGGTTACGCCCAGGGCTGCTGAAGCTGGCCATGGCTGCAGGAACGTGTGGGCAGCTGAGACCTGATGTTCCCCATGGGTTAGACAAACTGAAGACGGGTGAGAAAGCCCAGGCCCTCCTAGACCCCTCCAATGGGAGGAAATACAGGTTGCCCTCACGTGACGTGGGGTCTGAGGCAGGAGACACCTTTACTCAGCACCAAGGCAGCCACCTCCTGCTTCTCATGGTGTGGGTACAAGCAGGGGGGAAAGCCCGAGGCCCTCCAAAGGTGCACAGGGCTGTCGGAGCAGCGTGGTCCTGCTCTGCACGGAGTGCCCGGGGCTCCCACCCCCAGCCCCTTCCTGGGTGGGTCACCCCTGCTGTGCAAGGGCAGCACTGCCCACCCAGCTGTGGAAAAGGCCAACTCCAGCCTCCCGTTACACACGTGGAGGAGTCTTGAGACACCAGGACAGTCCAGTCCAGCCCACGGCAGAGGAGCCGTGTCAGCACAGAGCTTCCAGCCTACAGAACGGTGGCCCGGGGCAAGACACTCACCTTGACACAGAAGAGCACGGTGACAAAAAACACGGACACCAGGAGGAAGAGGAAGAACATGAGGAACCAGGCACTCCAGTGCAACCAGTTGCTGAGGCCCATCATGTGCATGTACTCCTGCAGGGAGGTCACGCCGTCACCCAGGGCTGCACCCACACTTCGCGGGCACAGCCAGGGCGAGGTGCAGGCCCTGGTCAGGGCGGTGGTGGCTTTGTCCTGCAGCACTGGCAAGGGAGGTGGCAGCCCCAGGTCCCATCAAAGTGGTCCTGCACAGTCTTTGGCATCTCATGGTGTCCCTCACCTCCCTGGAGGGTGCCACTGCCACAGGAGAACATCTCCCCAGGGAGCCGAGCTGAACCCAAAACCGCAGCAGCTGGGGCCAGCAGGGCCACCACGGTCACCAGGCAGGACAAGCCCGTGCCCCTGGGAAGCCAAGCCCTGCACACTCAGCCCCTCTGTCGCAACCACCATGAGCCAAGCTCCAACCATCCCCACGACACAAGTCAGGCACATGGGTTTCCACATTCAAAAGACAAAAATCTTGCTTCCCACACACTGAACTCTCGAATCTACAAAACTCTTGAAGCCACACGTGCTGCCCTTTTTTCCAAGCCACCTTCCAGCCCAAGAGAAACACCAGCCCTTCAGTCCAGCACCCTTGGCTGCACAGCAAGGAGAGCCCAGCCTCATCCCAGCAGCAGGATTAGCAACATTCCTCTCTGGGGCTTGCTAATCTGCTGCCATCCCCACCTCCTGCTTACTGGCTCCGAACCTCACAGGATTTTGTTCCTAACTTCAAGGCAGCACCCACTGGGAAATGCTGCGGAGGGAGAACCACCCCCATATGTCCCACCACCCAGTGTTACCTTCAGCTTCTTCTCCTTCTCGTGCACGACGGCACGGACGATGTTGAGCGAGGTGTAGGTGAAGCTGAGCATGAGCAGCAGAGGCAGCTGGTTCTGGATGGCGAGGAGGAACAGGTCATTGACGTACGCCGGGTAGGGGAAGCGCTGCACCACCACCGTGATGTTCTCCAGCAGGCTGGCAGAGCTGGCATTGGCGTGGTACTGCATGATGGCTCTGTCCACCGCGTGCTGCACGGCCAGGAAACCTTCTCGGATGTAGCCTGCGCGGCGAAAACAACACGAGGGAATAGAGATGGGTCCGGGTTTTGGAGGGAGGCACTGGCGGGATGAGAGAAACAGCCTTTGCGGGTGGAATAGTTTGGGAAGGAGGAACAAAAAGCAAAATAAACACCACTATCGACACGCTTCTGCAGACACAGAGGGGCTCAGGAAGGATTTAAATCACAACAGTTTAAATCTTTCATAACCATCATTTAAAAGCAGCTGGCAGGAAAACTCAATTTAAACTGCAGTCGCCTTTCGGCAGGCACAGCTTTATTTTTGTAAGGGGGGAGATTCTCCATCATCGTTAACCACCACCAATGTCACTGAGTTTGTATTTGGCCCCTTTTCTTCGTAAGGCAAGAGAATACCACATACTATGCAGGTTTTGGTGAGGAAGAATATATCCCACTACTCACACATTTGGCTTAAATTTTCGTGCAAGAGAAAACAGTGACAGATTTTTAATTTTCAACTAGTTTATTTTTAGGTGGGTTTTCTGCCACGTGTTACTTGAATGTAAACTCAAATGCTGCTTACAAAGCCCCAGATGAGCATTTTGAAAGTTAGTTGCTTAAAATGACCTAGACATAGAAGCAAAAAGTAAGAATATGAGATCATGGACAATGTTTTACGTTAACTAATTTACTAAACAAACACTGTAGCAAGGGAATTGATCTGAGCCCCTGGTCACCCCGTCCTGCAGAACACCTGAACCAGCAGATATCGTCCTCTCAGGCTCAGGTTTACTTACACAGCGTGAGCAAAACCCGTTCGCCCACTTTCTTGGCCTCTCAATCTTTTCCTTGACATCGTTATTGAATGATGGAAGGAGAAACCCGACCGAGGGACACATTGCCTCTGCAGCCACAGAGGAAGCTCCTGAAAAAGCAAGTCCTAAGCCAGCGCCAGCTCTGGCAACGTCCCCACTGCCTCCTGCTCAGTCAGTGGTTTGGCTTTCCTTAAAAACCTACGCTCAAACCACAGAACTGCTCTATTTACTTTTAAAGTATTTAAGCAGCACAATAAACACTGAGCAGTTTGGACCCTGAAATAAATTTTCCATTAAAAATATAAAAGGAAAAAAAAATAATCTAAAAATATTCACGTCAGTAAAATTTACCCTTATCCAACTCCGCTCAGCAGAGATACACAGAGGCCAGCAGTGCCCAAGAGGTCACAGGATAAAATGTAGATAAATAATAAATATAATAAATTAAGAGTAAAATTGATTATTTTTAAAAATTCAACTATTTCTTTAAAAGCTCAGAGCCTCAGTGAATCTCTGTAACGAGCCGAGTTGCTGTACAGAAAATGACACCCAACTCTTTGGCCATGAAATAGCCCGCGGCAGAGGAGAGGTGGCCCTCACCCGGCGTCCCCCCATCAGCAAACTTGGCCTCCCGGGGCCCGGGCAGCTGGAAGAGCGGGAAGAGGTAGCTGGTGTGCCAGTCCCGGTCCAGGTTGGGGTTCAGCCCCGTCTGCTCGCTCCGTGGCGCGTTCCGGGGGCTGTACTTGAAGCGCAGCTCATAGCTGACCTGGAAGGAGCACACAAGGGGCGTCGCAGGCGGGACACGAGGGAGAGAGGTCTGGGTGGCAGAGGGGAGGGGGATGCTGGCGTCCTCGTGTCCCCCCGTCCCGCCCCACACACCTGGGGGGGCAGCGGGGCCGTGCTCTGCTGGAAGCGGTGCTTGAAGACGACGGCGGCCAGCACGCTGCCCGAGCGGTTGTCCGACTTGACGTACTCCTCAAAGTCCCGCTCCGAGGCAAAGCCCTGAGCTGCGGAGGGGGAGAAAAACAGAGATGCGGGCACAGAGCACAGCAACTCATCACGGGCACCAGCTCCACCATCACTACAACCAGCACTTTGGTCCAGGACACGAGGGATGCGCTCCAGCCAGAGCTGGGAAACAACCGCTGCTGCCAGGCATGGGGGGTTTGTACGGGATGCTGCCGTACCCCTCACCACGGGGCAGGCAGGCGATCCCTCCTCCTCGAGGGTGGCAGTCAGCTCCCCTTTCAGAGAAAATCCTAGTGTTATCTTCAGTTTGGAACATGAAGCGCTAAAATTTTCTGTGCGACGAGATTTCCAAAAATACTTTTTCTCGGGGAAGCGACAGCCACTTTCTTTAACTATTGTAGGGCAATATTTTTCTAGATGGAAACTGCAACAAAACGTGAGCAAAAACCAAAACAAAATCCTGTAGCTTTAGAGAAACAAAAATAAAACCATTGCCTTGAAGTTCTGGAAATGCATCCCAGGAATAGAGCATCAAGATTTATCAGAGTAAAAATTCATGCTAATTTCTGGGGTGGGAGCCCCGGCCCCTGCTCACCTCTGATGCTGATGGGTAAAGCTCTCTCCACGGCCTCTGCAATGCTCCTGACGGCGCTGCTGTTGGAGGGGACGTAAGCCAGCTCCCAGGGATTGCTGGGGTGCCGGCGGTAGAAGAAACCTGGGAGGTCATCCACGGGCTCGGGGGGGTAGATGGTGGCGTTGGGGTGGCTGATGGAGTGCACCCGGTGCCGCAGGGCTATCAGGATGGCGGCGAAGAGCAGCGGCAGGCAGATTTCGATGACTGTCACCAAGATCTGCCGTTTCTACAGGAAAGGTTACAAAAAAATAAGATGTGAACACTGAAGGGTAGATCTGACGGAGTAACGAGGCGCAGGGCATGCAAACGCCACACGGCAGGAGCACTGTTGCATTTCACAAGGTTTCACAACCTGTTTTTTTTCCGGAGCCCAGGAACAACGCTGCGCTGGTTCCCGTATCCTTCAGGACTTTCCAGCCAAGGTGTCCCCTACCCGAAGCACCGCTCGGTCTCAAACCACCCTCTGTCAGAGCCTTCCCCACCACGCTGCCGGGTCTGAATGAGCTGAGCTGGTCGTTTGCCCTTTCCCTGTGCAACGGGGCTGTGCCCAGGAGCAGGCAGCGCTCCGGGCTTGCTGAAACCGCTCCTGCGGGCAACCGCAGCGATGCACCTCCTGCGAGGAGAGCCCGTCCCACGGGGACCAGCCGCGGCCGGCAGGACGAAGAGAGCAGCTTTTGCCAAAGCAGAACAATCCTGCCCAACACTTACAGGGCTGGGAGCTAAAAATACTGTAACTAAATGAGAGGCTGGGACCGGCAAGCGGGGCGGAGGCAGAGCAGAGTGCAGCAAAGCTACGGCCGCCAGTAACGTTTTCTGCTGCTGAAGTTTAGAGCAGCACATGGGCTCTACACCCCAGCCCGGGATGGGACCTCGCAGAGCCTCTGGCTACAGGTATTGGTGCCCCTGCGCAGCACCGAGAACATACCCACAAGCTCAGCCTCCGCCCCAAGGCCTGCCTGCACTAAACACGGTGGCTCATTTCATTTTTTTAATTGAGGTTCAAGCAACTGGACAATGAACTCGAGTCCGGTGAATGCACTTGTGCAGCCAAGCCAGAGCACAACCCTCCAGTAGTTTCCCCCAGGGCTCCCCCTCCTGCAAACTTCCTAACTAACACCCACCACCAACCCAGGTTAATTAGCACTTAAAACTCTGCTCGTCCCAGGGCAACTGGGGTCACCTCTGACCCGGGGGAGCAGCGGTGCCGACCAGCACCAGGCACAACCCCGGGATCTGCTTTATCACAAGCGCTGGGACACGCTGCTGACTGATGGATTTGTGCTCATAAAATCACTGCAAAGGTCACGCTTGCTTTCGAGAAGGGGAGGAAGCTGCATCACGCAGCTGCAGCGGGGATGGGAGAGGGAGGCAGGGCCCAGAGCTCGGCCAGGCACACGGCGTCCCGCCACGGGCAGGAGGGCACAGCTCAGCCCGGTGCAGCGGCAGCAGCCAGGCAGGTCTGGGTAAGAGAGGTGAAATCTGGACCCAGCCGCCCTATTCCTTCCTGCAAACCCAGCTGCCTTCACTCGAGCCCAGCACACCAAACCTCACCCGCTCCCGCGACACCTCCCGAGATGTCCCCGGCAGCAAGGGAGCAGCTCTGGGCGCAGGGATTCACGGCTGCTCCCTCGGAGCACGTGCCCACAGCAGAAGCAGCAGCATCAACCTCTCCTGAGGGCTCTGGATAAGATGGGCTTTACAAGACATGGAGGAGTTTCCCACCCTCTCCTCTCCTGGGCTGGAAAGAGGAGCAACACCAGGCAAGAGGAGCGCCAAGAGGTTTATTCTCACAACTCCGCTCTCTCAGCCATTGTTTTTTTCTCCGACGGCGCAGCCCCTCCCCAACATCTCTGCACACTCAGCATTGTTAAACCTCCTCCTGCCCGGCCCCGTACAGGGTGCGGATGCTGTCAGGGCTCCTCTCCTCCCTGCACCGACCGTGTGCTGGATCCAGCACCCCCCGCTGCCACAAAAGCTCCTTCAGCTCTGCAAATACCAAGCGTCAAGCTGTGCTGACCACGGCCTTACACCTCCCATCCCTCCGATGGAAAAAGGTTTTAATTTTCAAATAGCGGGGGGGGGAGCTGGGGGGGAGAAGCAGCAGCAAGTGGGGCACGCTGAGGCGGGCACAGTCTGCGGTGGAGCAGGAACGAAGCCCTGAGCACAGTCCAGCCCAGACCTCCCAGGAAGGGGGACAGTCCCCCCTGCAGTAGCTGGGGTGAGTTGGCTCTCAGCTGGTTTTTCAGGAGGGGGCCTGCGGGCACACAGCCACGCAGCCACTCCCCGCAGCACCCCGGCACTCGGCACCCACTGCCAAAGCTGGAAACCGCTCTTTGGGTGTCCCCTGGGAGGAGCTGCCGGACCCCAGGCAGGGATGAGCCACTGCTGCAGCCAGCCCCGGCAGCGCGGCCAGCGAAAAGGAGCCTTTGCAAAGGCCACGCTCATTGAAGCGAATGCTGCAGATGTCTGATGGTTTTATAATGCAGCTCTGGCATACCAGCTGCCTCCTGCTGATTTACTATCGTATTAACCCTCTCTCAATCTCCTGGGCTGTCTCCAGAACGGTTGCCTGGCTCTCCAAGCTCGCAGGCTAATACTCATTTACTAGGGCAGGCTTTTCGCTGCCGCTGAAGTCATTTAAGCTGCCGTATTCCAGAGGAGACGGGGATATTCATCCATAATCACCACCTCTGCCTGGCCAGGGCTGCCCCGGCTTTGAACAAGCCCCGTGTCCTGGAATCCATCTTCACACTGGGGTGATGATGGCTTGGGTGCTCTGCACCGTCATCAGGAGCGTGATTTCTGGTGGAGACTTCAAAGGAGCAGACACTCCAGGCTGTATTTCCACAGCAGACCTGAGTCAGCTTGTGGCCTTGGAAAACACAAGAGGTGCCCCCGCCCCAGAGCACACCCAGAAAATGATGCTGTTCCCCTGCAGAGGGGATGGGGGATTGTCCTGGGGTGTACACGGGGGATTCACAGGACTGGCCATCACACACACCCACAGAGCACACTCCGGGCTGCAAATCAGACCCGCTGCTGGTCCCTTTGGTCACCTCCAGGCCCTGCTGCCTGCTCCCTGCCCTGCCACAAGGCCAGGAGCAGCCAGCCCTTCCCTCTTCCTTTTGTTTATTTTTTTAAAGCAACGTCGTGCTGATCTGCAGAAGGGTAACGGAAAGCGTAAAGCCCGGCTGCGGCGCGTTCTGCTCCCTCCTCTTCCGCTGCCCCCAGCCAGGGCTGGCTCCGGGGCCCTGCCGAGCCGCAGCATCCGCCCAGCAGCGCCCGCACGCCGCTCAAAGGCGCTGCAGCCTCGGCCAGCAGCCGGCGAGACGCTGCCAGTCAGCACGGCAAGGAGGCCCCGAGCTCCCAAAATCTCTCCACACGAGCCAGCTGCCACACAGAAAGCTGGGCTGGGAGCCGATGTCAGGGCAATGGTGGTTTAACATTTGTAAGATCCCCCCCCGAAGCTGCTTCTGAGGGCTGTAAAAAGTAGGGGAGGAAGAGTAAACCTGGGCCCCCGGTGGGTTTAGAGGCACTGTGCAGCAACCAGCACCCCCAGAGGCGGCTGTGTAACAGGATAGCTCAAGAAACCCACCATCACACAGGAGGGTGTGTGGGCTAGCTGGCCCCACGAGAAGGGGAGCTGAACTCACGGCTGGGCTGCCGGAGGGGAATGGCACAGCGTGCACTCGAGGGGACAGGGGCAACTAAGCATGGAGCCCTGCCCACAACTCCCCAACACAAAAGCAGGACACCACACACAAAAAAAAAAAAAAAAAAAAATCTGTTTTCCTCCAGGAGATGCCCTGGGCCCATGGTGGAAGTTTGCTGGAGAATCAAGACCCTGGGCAAGCTCTGATGGACCCACATTTAGTGGTGACAAGAGGCAGCCCCCCGGGAGCACGGCACCAGCCTACCTGCAGGATGTAATTCTTCCAGAGCAGCAGCCCAAACTGCCTGAGAACAACCATCCTCCCATCAGAAGGGGACCACCACCGCTGCTGCCGCCGCTCCGCAGGACGCTGAAAGAGAGGAGAGAGCCATGAATGCCAGGCGCTCGTGGACCCGGGTGGCAGGAGGGCAGCAGCCTGCATCCCACCCATCTGGCGACCCTCTGTTTCCAGCCTGATGTTGCAACAGCTGGCTTGGCCCCAAACACGGGCAAATAACTGTCCTACTCCCTCTCCAAGGGTCATTAGTGACCCGTAAGAGCTCATTGTTTCTGGCACAACCCATTCCCGGTTGTTGGCACGACCTGAGCTGCAAGAGAGGGAGGCTGCTGTTGAGAGACCCAACCTGCAAGTATCACAGGTCCTTCACCAGCAAGCAGGCAGGGAATATCTCTCCTTAAGCAGCAGGAGCACAGGCTTACAGAACAGCAAACACCAGCCTGAAGAAGGCCACCAAACTCCCTGCAGCCCATTATTTTGGGGCTGGTGAAGATTTCAAGTTGTGCCCCCGCTTCCTGCAACGTGACGCGTTGGTTTTGCAACACTAATGCTGCTCTCCCAGCAGAAACTCTCCTTGGAGAGGGGAGGATGAGAAGAGGGCAGGGAAGCGGAAGGGAAGGTCAGTGTTTGCGGACGATACACCCGCGTCCTCCCCCTCTTGGGAAGCATCTGCCATCCCTCCAAGTTGTTTTTGTTTCTGTTTGCAGTGGCGTTTCCTGACAAAGCACTGCTGTCCCGCTCGGAGACGGGCTGCGATTGCACGCTTGCAGCAAGTCACCCGGCATCGTGGCACAGAGGAGGGGCAGCCCTGGCACAAGCGGAGCCGCCTGCCCATGCTGCCGGACACGGGGCAGCCCCCAGCCCAGCAGCCCCTCGGGCTCCGAGCGCTGCAAACCCCCTCTTCCCTCCAGCAACGGGGCCAACCTGGGTCACAGCAGCGCCCATCAGCCCTGTCGCGGCCTCCACGAGCGGGCAGCTGCCGGGTTCATCTCCAACAGCCTGTGCTCCAAAGCCCAGCAGCACCGAAAGCTGCTGCAGAGACAAGGACGGACACGTTACCGACCAGCAACGCCCCAGGAGATGCTCAACAGCACATCTTCCAGCCCCGGTCAGGACGGTATCGGCTCCTTGGATCCAGCCAGCACCCACCGACCTCAGCAGGGAGTTTAGGGTGCTGCAGCAAGAGGAGGTGAGGTTGGTGACCCAGCCCGCCCAACTTTCACTCCTGGATCGGTGACTGGTAAATGCACGTCACAAGCAAAGCACCGACAGCCGGGGGCTGCCGCAAGAGCAAGCTAAAATCCACACAGGCCTGCGGAGAAAGCAACAAGCATCCATCGACCTAGCCTGCCCTACAGAACTACCTCCTTGTGCCCTCCAGAAGCATCCTCCTGGCTTGGCACACGCCTTCCCATCCCCAAACCAAAACCCAAGTGTATTCTCAGAGCAAAAAAAAACCACCTTCTTTTAGCCACTTCATGAGCAGAAGTCAGATTCCTGCAACTGCAAGGGACATGTGCGCTCAAGGATCCTCCTCTGGGCAGAGAAAAAGCAGAGGTGGTCCACTCCTGCAGCCCAGAAAAGCCTGTCAGACACCCCCCCGGTCAGCAAGCGGGGAAGGAACAGCAAAGGGGACTTTGCAACGGGGGCTGCTGCTAGATTTCAGCTTAAACACCTTCAAGCTCACCGCAAAGCAGCATGTCTCCAGCCGGCCTCCAGTCCGCACGTGCCCTGGCAGAAATGCCACCGGTCTGTCATAGGACCCCACAGTAGGTCCCCCAGCCCCACGCACCCCCATACCGCGCTCAGCAGGATCCGACATACCTCCAAACGAGCCCCCCCCCAGCAGCAGAAACCTTCCTCGTGCACTCACTCGAAGGGAATCCAGAGCAAATCCAGGGAATCAACCTTTCGGCTTGTTTTAAAGAAGACAAACGTGGCAGATCAGGCTGGAGAAAGCTGCTGCCCTTGCAGAGATCCCACCTCCTGCTCCCGAGTCCCTCCTGGCCGCTGGCCCCGCCGCACCCTCAAACGCAAGCTGGCCCCCCCCCGACTGCCCACACGGGTCTTATGGCTGCCATGGGGACTGGTATGTCCCTGAGAAAATGTCAAGCAGCTCTTGGGTAACACAAACACTACACAAAGTCGGAAAACTTCATTCTTGTCAATAAGTTTTTTCCAAGCTTTTAAGAGTTCCAAGAAAACCTGTACTGGACCTTTCACTCGCTGGAGGATGACAGAAGGAAGAAGCTCAGTTACAACAGGGCCCTTACCAGATTTGAGAGCAAAAACGGTTTTCCAGGCTCTGCATCCACAGAAATTACTTTTTCCAACCCCAAAAAAAGGAAAACTGTTTTTGGAAGGTGCTGCCTGGATCAGCCCCAAGATGCCCGTGACCCCAGGCAGTTCAGGCAGGGTCCCCATCCGCCCCCCTGGCCTGTCCAGGGCCACCTTTGCCAGGAAAAGAGGGCTGGGCACAGCGGGTTCAAGATGAGCTCAGAGGCTCCGCTCGTACCTTTCCGGGGGAGACCCCGCAATGCTCCTGCCTACTCGCGTGGTGACAGGCCAGCTTGTCCCCTCCGGAGATGCTCTCCTGCCTGACCTCAGCACCGTGCGCTGCAAGGTAAGACTGACTTTCCCAACAAGAGGCACAGACAGAGATCTGGAGGAAGGGGGAGACAAATCACCACCAGCTTCTGGGAAAACAACCCAATTCCTGTCTCCCTTGCTGGAAATACCCTCCTCACCACGCCCGACCGCAGCAGGAGGAAGAGTCTCCTAAATACACAAGCACAGATTCACCCTGGCCATCCCCAGGGAGGTGGGCGAGGAAGGAGACCCTCCTGCCTGCCCACCCAGGCGGGTGGAAGCCGGACAGGTCCCTGCCATGCCGCCGAGCGCGGCACGGAGCCGTGCCGGATAATGCGGCGGCCGTGCCAGCTGCCAGCCTGGACCAGAGCTCTCCCGCCGGTGGATTTAGATGAGGACAGGCTGAGGATCAGCAGGGATCAGAGCCACAGCATTCCACCTCCTGACCCACTTCCACGCCGCCGGGAGCCGGACGTCCCCAGCCACTGTCTCAGCGGAAAGGGCCGGGCGAGCTGAGCAAAGGCCATGTGCTCCTGGGAGCTGGCAGTTATTTTAGAGCACTCGCCGCATCTCTGCTCTTCTGATGTCCCGTTCCCATAGAAACGAGGCCTGGAAATGGCAGACGTTGCCTCTTTTTTTTTTTTTTTTTTTTTTTTTTTTGAAATCAGCCTTTCTCCCCACCGACTGGCAGAGGAACCGTGCCAGCCCTAGAAGATGAGCTGCAGATCCTGCCAGGCACCTCCATTCCCTGTGGCCGCGCCGAGGACCGCACGGTGCCCGGCATGGTGGTATCATATACCTGGCAAGGGCTGGCGGCACCCGGGTGCTTTTCACACTGCCGCCAGAGCAGGAAACGCCTCCCTGCTCCCCGCAGCGCCTGTGCTGGAAATTAAAAGCATGAGCACCTATGGCAGGGGGAAGGACTTTTTTTGGCCAGCATTTTCAGGAAGAGCGAGTGATTTCCGATGCCTGCATGTCCGGAAAGACCCGTCTCCTACAGCCGGGTCCTGCAAAAAGCAACCGGGGCCACCACACCAGCCACAGGTTCTCAGCAGCGTGCAGCTCTCGCTGCTGGCTTCTTCTCCCTCCTCTCACTGTTCACAGAGATGCAAGAGTCACAACACAGCCAGACCATAAAAACCCCACCTACCGCAGCGTGAGAGGTTGTGCAAACAGAGCAATAAAACTTTCTAGGAGGCTGCAAGCCGAGCGGGGTGCAAGGGGTTGCCGACCCAGCGCAGGCACCGAGCACGCAGCACCCAGAGCCCTCTGCCAAACCAGCGCTCCCCTGAGTCCCCTCCGGATCTGTTTTGTTCCGCGGATGGGAACTTCAGGCCTCAAAATACAGAAGTAAACACAAAGAATGCCAGGGATTGGTCCCGTTTGCAGAACTGGGGGGTTGGTTTTGGGGCCTGGTCACTGCCCCAGAGCAAGAAAAGGAGGGGGCTGGTGGTCTCAGGGAGCCTGGCAGGCTCCTGGGTGACTGAATCACACCTACAACAAGCCTCCACGCTCGGGCAGCAGGAGAGGAGGGAAGAAGCTGCTGCATCAGAGCTGGTCACACCTTTTGCTTTGAAAATACCGTTGCAGTTGCAAAGGCCAAACTCCCTGCAAATTCAGTGGCCTCATGGATTCGGCAAAGGAACGAAGTCCGAAGGCTGACGGGGGTTTTCTTGCAAACCCTCGTGCAAACCACCCCCTGCCTCGGCATGCTGCAAGCCCTGGCAAACACCACCCCCTTCCCTCGGGGGCGACCTGCGCTTGGGCCACGCTCGCCACAGGCAAAGAGCAGCTGCAGAAATAACCTGTAAAGAAAAGGTTTCACACACCTGGACCCTGGCGACCCGAGCTGCGGCCTATTTATACTTTCAGAAAGTCGCGTGTGCGGCAGCGGCCGCCTGCCCCGATGCGCCGGGGCACAGCCGGGCGCTCGCTCGGTCACCAGCAGCCCCCCAGGAGCTGGTGTCCCAGCCCGATGGTGCAACAGGGAGGGGTGCCGCAGAGCAACCCCCCCCCCGCCCCACGGCCCCGGCTGAAGGTGATGCCCAGGTCACCCACGCCGCGCAGCCCCGGCAGAGCCATCCCCAGGCCCCGCCGCTCCCCGAGGGCGGGACGGACACACGGACACGACGCCAGCCGCACCCGGGGACGGCGAGCTTTGAGCCGGCCGAGCCGGGCAGAGCTCGCCCCCCGGGACCTCGCGGGTTGCGGTCCCACTCTCGGGGTGGGGGGGGCACCCACCGGGACCGGGGGGGGCTGCGGCGGGCGGAGCCAGGAGAAGGGCCCCGGAGGCTGCCGCAGCCCCGGGCGGAGCCGCCCCGCCGCGGAAAGGCCGCTGCCCCCGCGCACCCACCGCGCCGGCCCGGCGCCCCCCGACCCCTCCCCCCCCCCCCAGCCGGGGTGTCCGGTGCCCGCACCCCCCCCAACTCACCGGGCCGGGCGGCTCCGGCTGCGGCTCCGGCTCCGTCCCGCGGCCCCGCCCACCCGCGGCCCGCCCCGCCCCCTCCCGCGCACGCGCCGCACCGGCGGGCGGGGCCAGGGCGCGCGGAGGGGGCACGAGGGCGTCATCACGGGGCGGGGTGGGGGGGTATGTTTGGGGGGGGGGGGGGGGGTCCTCTGTCCGTCTGTCTGGGCGCCGGCGTTTGTGCGTCGCCCCGCGTGTGTCACCGTGTGCGCACACGCGTGTGGGCGCGTTGCTCTGTGTGTGTGCGCGCGCGCACCCGGGCGTTACACGCGCTGCGTGGGTGTGCAGATTGAGGGGGGGGGGTGGGGAGGGGTGGGGGGAGCGTGTGTGTGCGCGCACACGCGTGTTCACACGAGCGTGTTTCCCGGTGCAGAGCTGCCACGCGTGTTCCTGGCAGCGCTTGCGGGAACACCGCTGTGTGTGTGCCAGGGTCTGCGGGTGTGCCAGGGGCCCACGCGTGGGCGACTGTGCGTGTGCGAGGGGCTGCGCGTGCCCGTGACACGGGCTCCCGTGCTCTGATGGGGGCCGCGAGCGTGAGCAGCCGTGCACGGCTGCGCTGCGGCGGGACCCGTGGGCTGCCCCCCCCCCCCGGTTCCCCATACACGGTCTGTGCCGGTGTGTCCGCCTGTCCGTCCGTCCCAGTCCCGCGCGGCAGCGCTCCGCACCGTGCCCTGCCCCGGGTTTTGGGAGCGCACGGCAGCCCCGGGCCTGTCCGGCTGGGCAGCCTGCGTGGGAACGCCGCGCCCCGCGGCCGCTCCGGCTGCCGAGTGGCACCTTCCAGATAAAGATGAAAGCGCTGGCGGCGAGGGGGGGGCTGCAGAGGCCGGTGGCCTTGCGCTCCCCGCGGCCGAGTGGGCAGGAGAGGGGCTGGAGGAGCGAGCCCGGCTGCTGGTGCCGGGAACACCAAAGAGGGGAAAGTTTGCTGTGGGCACGTTACGGGAGAGGGAGGAGGAAGAGGAGGGTGGGGAGCGGGGACGGGGACAAGGACAAGCACAGCTCTGCTGGGTAAACAAGGGGTGTGGGCACCCGCTTGGGCGGCTGCCTGGTGCTATGAAGTGCCTGGGGATATTTGGGGTGCCACGGTGACCTGGCAGGCAGGGGAGGAGGGCAGCCTCGAGCTGCTGCCTTTCTTCACACCATAAAGAGAAGCAATTTTTTTTTTTTTTTTTTTTGGGGGGGGGGGGTGTCTCCATTTAGGTGAACGCTGCAGTGATGGCTTTGATCGTGACTGCTTTGGAGATGGTTTTCGCCTGCAATCTTTTCATCTTGGTCATTGTGGGGTTTTGTAGTCATCCACCATGCCCTGTCTGGCCCCTGGGAGAGGAGAAAATAAACTAAGAAACAGAACCAGGGCAAGGGTGAAGCCGTCTCTGTAAGGGAGAGACGGAAGTAGCAATATCAGTTTTAAAAATAGTCATGTACGAATGGAGTGTGGCACCCCGTGATTGCACCGCCGGGACCCATCACCACCTCAGTGGCTTTGCTCCTCAGCTGGCAAAAGCTGAGGTTTGGCTTCCTGGGACACCGGGAGGGAGTCACAGCTCCGGGTCTGGCCCCAAAACAGTCGCCCACGGGGTTTCTCCCCGCTGGCCGTGCTCCGCTTGGGGCGCGCTGCTGCTGCGCTGGACGGGGTGGCTGCAGGAGTGTCCCCCCCCGGCCTGTGCTCAGGTCTCACCTCCTGCTGGGTTTCACTGGGAGATGCACAGACCCAGCACCCACCTGCAGAGCCGCAGCCGGGACCCACGTCCCCGCACTCCCCTGGCTCGTTCAACAGACAACAGCGGAGCTGAAGCCAGGGACAACCGAGCAGCCACCAGACCACAGCAAAGCTTTCCTGCTCGCACTCATCTCCTTCGCAGCACCCAGCCAAGCTCTGGCTCAGCGTCAGGGAGGAGCCAGCCCGGCTCACTGAGTTGCCATCCCTCAGCAGAGCCACCTGTGCACTTCGAAATGTGAATAATGCAGGCTGGCTGGGCGTGGGGGTGGCACGTGCCTTCCCACCAAGCGTGGCCTGGCTGAGGGCTCGTCACCTCGGCGTTTGCCTTCCCCCCACTGCTTGTCCCGGTGAGGCACCGCGTCCTGCTGCAGCCGCAAAGGGAACGGCGTGATGAAGGTCTCACCCCGGGTCTGCGCCCCAGCGCTCAGCGCAGCGTGGGGACCCCGGCCCCATCTCGGTGCCTGCAGCCAGCTGCATCGTCACAAGGTGACTGTGGTCCTGGGGAGGATCTGAGACAGCCGGTGCCCGCGGTGACATGCCAGAGCCTCGTGTCAGCCCCAGGCTGAGCCACCCATCCACGCCCCTGCTGGAGCCCAGGTTTGATCCTCCCCAATTACAGCCGCCTCACTTCTCCCCGTGACCTTCCCTATTGCCTCATGCAATTCCTCTCTCTGCCTGCCTTTGAAGGAAGCTGAGCGATTAGATCAAAACAAAAGTCTTGCCAAAGAAAGTATTTACAGGCTCCCCATGGCTCCTAGCACAGAAGACAGGAGATGTTGCAATGAGGCGCAGTGGCATTGCAGTGACTCAGCTCGCACCTGGGACCGGGAGCAAGCAGGAGACACGGTGGCAGACTGAGCAGGGCCACAGGAGGTACCCATGGGATGCTGCCAGAAAAGGGCAGAGGGGGGATCAGGCAACTCAAGAGCGCTTGTTTGATGGGATGTTCCTCTCTCAGATGTCCCATCACTCTCTCATCAGCACCTGCCTCTGTGCTGGCAGGCCGAGCCTGCCAACCCCACCCCTGCTACCTGCTGGTGGCCAGTGTGTCCCCGAGATCACTGCCTCAAGCTGTACTTCACCACCTTCCCTTGTTGTCCGTTGTTACTCCCCATCTCCCCAGGGGTTATTCCCAGGGGGCAGCCGCTGGGCCACCCATCACCGGGAGCGGTGATGCCCACCACACTCTTACAGACCACCTGCCTGGTTCAGAAACCCCAGCCCTGCCCACCCTGTAACTGGTTTCAGGGTTAAATCTGTTTTAAAGGTGCTGGCTGGCATCAGGAAACCATCTTATCATTGCCCGTTGAGGCAATGCTTGCTCTTCACCATCCAAACAGCATCCAAAACGCAGGACAGGCTGGCAGAGGTGCTGGGGGGGGGCCCGTGCCGGTGAGTCCCCAGTGCCTCCGTGCCAGCTCTGCCACATGGCCTGGACCCAGCACAGGGGGCACTGGCTCCTCATCTCACCTCCTGCAGCCAGCAGCAAAATGCAGATGTTGGGAAGAGGAACGTTACTAAACAATTTATTCTTTGGTTCCTCTGCTTTCCCCGTGGCCCTGCCGCCCCAGGGCAGTATCTGGGCAAGGACTTTGCCTGGTGTTCATTACCGTTGTCTTTGTGCCACCATCTCTGCGTTGCTCCTTGCCCTCCATCTAGCCTCCCGCAGCCCTGCCGCTCCCTGAGAGGGCAGGAGGGAGCATGAGCAGGGCGGACACCCCATAATGCCTGGTGGCACCTTCCTCCAGGGCAGCTGGTGGCTCGGGGACACGCAGCGAGAGCTTCCCTGGGTCGCCACAGCCTGTGAGCCACCAGGGACAAACACCCCAACTTCTGCTGAGAGCGTTTCCTGTCTTGTCTTAGTGTCTCCCCACTCCTTAACTTTGCTGCAGTGCTGGATGGTGCAATCCTGGGACCGGCATTTTTAACCCTCAAGCGCCCCCACCCAGGAGTGAAATGCCAGGATGATGGTTCCCATGAAAGCGGGGGAGCGGATCCAGCACCTTCCGCTCCCCCAGACTCACTAGAAGAGCTCCTGCTCCTGCCTGACTCCCAGTGCCGGTAGCACGCACAGCCACACAACCTCCCGGGTGTTGTGAGCAGTGCCACACCAAGGGTTTGCTGCTGTCGGAGAGCAGCTTGTGTGTGTGTGAAGGCACAAATGCTCCTATCTTTGCTGGCCAAAGGCAGAGGGATCTGCTCCGCACAGCCGGGCAGGCTGGCAACAACCATTTTTCTTGGGAACGCTGGCTGCGTAAAAGCAGAAGGGATGGGCGTGGGGTTCGCGTCTGGTCTGATTCCAGAGAAAGATGTGTGCTTGTCACTTCCCAAGCGGGACCCCGAGGGCTGCCGCAGCTCGTCCTCCCTGCTACCTGCAGCGCTGGTGCAGTGGTGAAGAGGTTCAGCTTAGCGTGCCTGCGGGACCAGCGCGGAGGCTCGGGGAGAAGAGGCTGTTCCCCACGCCCCCGGGGGAACGAAGCAGCCTTGCTGCCTTGCTGGGGTGCGGGTGCTTGTTGAGGCAAGGACCAGATCTCTTGGGGTCCTCTCCCCCAGGGGTGAATTCCATTCTCCCTTACCCCCCAAGGCATGCTGGCTCACAGCCCCACAGCCTTGGCTGCCGGGTTGGAGCCTCCCAGTGTGTCCCTCTGCTCTGGGAGTGCTGGGGAGATGTGGAGGGAAGACAGACTCCCCTTGCAGTGCTCAGACACAGGGAAGATTTCTGTGAGCTGGGAAGGTTGGCGTGGGAGGAAGCTTTCCAGGATCCCCTGCTGCTCTTCCCAATCCCTGCTGTCCTCACAGTGTGATTTCCCTGGCAGTGCTCCGCAGGGAGCTGGCGCAGTCTCTGGCTGCACCAGCCTCCTTCTGTGTGTCCCTGGGGTGTCCCTGCTCTGTCCCCATGTCCCTGCCGGGGGTTACAGAGCTCAGTGCCTTTGATAGACCCCAGTGCACCACCAGCCACGGGGGAGACGTGGCTGGAAAGCTCTGCTACCACTGCTCCCACATGCCTGGGTGAGCATCCCACTGCGGTCAGAGAGGTGGAGGATGGAGCCGGGGAGGCAGCACGGCCCGGGGCCGGTGCGGGCAGGCTCTGCCTGCACTGCCCAGCTGCTGGCCGAGGGCAGGGCGGTTGTCCCTTCACCCCAGAGAGGCAGCCAGTGTCCCCACAGCCACCTCCCACAGGCGAGCAGGCAGCCCTCCTGTGCCAACAGCCAGGACCTTTCACGGCTGCTGGATGGGAGCTGATAGGCTCCTGAGGGCCCTCCCGGGACTGTAACACCACTGCACAAGTGCCATCACTTCAC